GACGAGCGCTGATCTGATTTGCTGTGATGACACGATTTCTCAAGGCCAAGGTACGGATAAATCGATCCTGGGCTTGAGTTGTCGCCCTTGGTCGACCTGAGCGTGGTCTGTCCTGTACAGATTGTGTATCACGGTATCTGGACCATAGCCTGCTTATGACAGACTGAGAAACATTCATCGTCCGCGCCACAACCGCCTGTGTTGTGCCGATCTGTAGCATGCCAAGGGCACGTAACCTTTCATTTTGGGTAAGCCGACGCATATCAAAATTTGTTTTCTGGTCACTAAAACAATTAAACTGATGTTTCCACCCTGGAATTCAATGCCACAATGACTGTAACATTCAAAGTCAGAGTCGTGCAAATCTTGGGTTGGACCCCAATGATGATCCCAAGCATCACCTGCATTCCATGCGGTAGCTATTGGTGCGTTTGGGCGTCACATGTAACTGGAAATGTTTTTTCTGTTAGGTTCTATAGTGACTTTTTTCGTAGTCATTTGCATATTTTAGTATTATGCCCCCAAAATCAAATATCCCCTACTTTTTTTGAATAGTATATTTGGGCTAAAAACATATTCCAACAAATTAATCCCGAATACAATATTTTGAAAGGGATTTGAGTCAAATTTTTGATAGATTAATTAGTTGGAATATGTGATGATATATTTGGGCTAAAAACATATTCCAACTAATTAATCCCGAATACAATATTTTGAAAGGGATTTGAGTCAAATTTTTGATAGATTAATTAGTTGGAATATGTTTTTAGCCCAAATATATCATCACATCATACAGTTTGTACATTGGAAGGCATCTCTAACTTAAACATTTAAGATTTTAACTTAATTTTTAAGTTATTTTTAAGTTAAAGACCACGTAAGATCAAAAATCTAAATTGCATCTATGTATAGCCCATGGTTACTATATCAACTTTACGACAAGTTCACACCAATCTGATTAAAATTAAGTCCGCTGTTAATGTTTAAGTATCCGACACGCCAAAACGCTTTTCGATTTTTCAATTACGACCTTAATCCGGTTGATTGGCTGGTGACGTCACAGGCACTACACATAGGATATACATTATCTATACAATATCTCACTGTCTGTACAATATAGCACTATCAATACACACGGCAACTGGACAAGCGTCTATTGACGGTCCAATTACCACGTGACTGGCCGAATCATAATCACCGAATTATCGTCTTTCATTGGTATAGATTAGACATTTGTGATTGGAATATTTTAGAGTGAATTTAAAATGTCGTATCATGCCGTAGATCAATTTAAGCTGCCTTTTTTTTAAAAATAGGTCACGTGTCAAATGAAGATGTCTCAAGAAATTAGCGCATTTACCGGTAATTTGGATAACCCCGTAATACTTGATATCCCAAACTTAAGTACAGAAATACAAATTTTACACAAATATCATTGTATTACAGACAGCGAAAAATAACATCAGCTGTTATAAAATGAACACTGAAGCCACCAAATACAAAATTGATCTTGGAATTATTTTAACTTATAAGTCAATACAACACAATAATTTTTATACGCCCACATGGAAATGTGGTCGTATATTGCCGTCGCCCCCGTCCGTCCGTCCGTCGTCTACAATTTCTTGTGAACACTCTACAGACTACATTTATATGATTGTTTTGAAATTGATATATGTTGTTTGCATAAGTGAGATGAAGAAGCCTATTTAATTTCAATAACTTCCGTTAATTTCTTATGGAGTTATGGCCCTTGTTTCACTTTGTTGCACCTTGTGAACGCTCTAACGACAAAAATTATCAACCGATCTGTATGAAATTTATATGCATCATTTAAATTAGTAACACAAAGACGCCTATTGAATTTCAGCAATTTCCGTTAATTATGTCTAGAGTTATGGCCCTTGTTTCACTTTGTTGAATCTTGTGAACGTTCTAATGACAACAGTTATTATCCGATCTGTTTGAAATTGATATGCATAATTTAAATTAGTGAAATGAAGAAGCCTATTGAATTTCAGCAATTCCCGTTAATTTCTTCTGGAGTTATGGCCCTTGTTTCACTTTGTTGCACCTTGTGAACGCTCTAACGACAAAAGTTATCAACCGATCTGTATGACATTTATATGCATCATTTGAATTAGTAAAACAAAGAAGCCTATTTAATTTCAGCAATTTCTGTTAATTACGTTTAGAGTTATGACCCTTGTTTCACTTTGTTGAATCTTGTGAACGCTCTAATGACAACAGTTATCATCCGATTTGTTTGAAATTGATATGTATCATTTAAATTAGTGTAACGAAGAAGCCTATTGAATTTCAGCAATTGCCGACTAATTAATCCCGAATACAATATTTTATACAATGAAAGCAGTTATCATCCGATCTGTTTGAAATTGATATGCATCATTTAAATTAGTGAAACGAAGAAGCCTATTGAATTTCAGCAATTTCCGTTAATTACGCCGTGAGTTATGGCCCTTGTTTCACTTTGTTGTACCTTGTAAATGCTCTAACTAACGACAAAAGTTATTATCCGATCTGTATGAAATTTATATGTATCATTTAAAGTAGTAAAACGAACAAGCCTATTGAGTTTCAGCAAATTTCCGTTAATTACATCTAGAGTTATGGCCCTTGTTTAACTTTGTTGAATCTTGTGAATGCTTGAACGACAAAAGTTATCACCTAATCGGTATGAAATTCATATGCATCAATTAAATTAGTGAAATGAAGACGCCCATTGAATGTCAGCAATTTCCGTCAATTATGTCTAGAGTTATGGCCCTTGATTTACTTTGTTGAACGTTGTGAACGCTCTAACGACAAAAGTTATCATCCAATCTGTATGAAATTTACATGCATTATTTGAATTAGTAAAACGAAAAAGCCTGTCGAATTCCAGAGTTACGACCCTTGTTTTAGTGTTTAGAACCTTGTGAACCCTTAAACGACGAAAATTATAATGTCACCTGTATGAAATTCTCTGTTAAATTCCCCTAATTACCTACAAAAGAATAAATATGTGACAACCCTTGTCGACTACCGGACGATTTAGCTGCTGTGGGCGTATGTTTTGTTGCCTGTATATATGTATGTATGTATGTATGTGTGTGTGTCTGTGGGTCGCCTATAGGGCGCAATTCTTACACGATTTTCTTCAAACTTTGTATACTTATTCCTTACACCCCCAGGGACAGAGCCACGCCCAATTCTTGTATTTGTTTGTTTTTCGTCTACAGGCCACATTTCTTAACATATCATCTTGAAACTTTGCATATTTATTCTTTGTACCCTAAGGAACATCCCTATAGTTTGGGGTACATGCCAAACCCACAGGGACAGTGCCACGCCCATTTTCTCTTTGTGTGTCTGTATGTCGCCTACAGCCCATAATTCTTAATCGATCGTCTTGAAAACTGGTTTTATACTTATTCCCTATACCCTAAGGCTGACCTCTATTATTCTTGGTGCATGTCTGACCCCCCTTGGTCAGAGCCACGCCCAATGTTTGTGTGCCTACAGGCCGCAATTGTTAACAGATCCTTCTGAAACCTTGCATACCTATTCCTTATACCCTAAGGACGACCCCTATTGTTTTTGGTGATTGCTCAACCCCTAGGGGCAGAGCCATACCCATGTTTTCTTAATGGATATGTATTCCTTATAGCCTAAGGAAGACAACTGCATGTCCCGACCCCTAGGGGCAGAGCCACGCCCAATTTATGTGTTTGTCGTTTACAGGCCGCAATTCTGAATGAATCAGCTTGGTACTTGGCATATGTATTCCTTATAGCCTAAGGGATTCAACTATTGATTTTGCTGAATGTCCCGACCCCCAGGGGCAGAGTCACGCCCACTTTTGCCATTAGTGCCTGAAAGCCACAATTCTGAATGAATTATCTTGGTATACTTATTCCTTATACTCTAAGGACGACACTATTGATGTTGATGTACAACACCCTACTCCAACCCCCCCCCCCCTCCAACCCCACCCCCTGCCCTTTCGGCTGTGCCACACCCACTTTTTGTTGATATTTTGTCTGTAAATGATATACAGATTGCAATTCTTAACAGATTTCGATCCAATTTAAAATAGGGTTGTACCTATATATATTGGTCCATGTCCAACCCCGAGGGCCAGAGCCACGCCCAATTTTTGTGTTTTTTTGTTTACAGACTGGAATTCTAAATGGATTATCTTGAAACTTGGCATATTTATTCCTTATTCTGTAAGGATAGCAACTATTTATTTTGGTGCATGTCCCACCCCCACCCCCCGGGTCGTGGTACCTTACCCACTTTTTTGTTAGTTTTTATCGGTAAATACTCTACAGGTTGCAATAATTAACATATTTTGTTCAAATTGAGCATATCAATCAATAACAGGGTGGTACCTATTTATATGTATATTGTTCCATATCCAACCCCCAGGGGCAGAGCCACGCCCAAATTTTGTATTTATCGTCTACAGGCTGCAATTCTGAATGGATCATCTTGGAACTTTGCATATTTATTCCTTATGCCGTAAGGACAGCAACTATTTATTTTGGTGCATGCCCTGACCCCTGGGGCAGTGTCACACTCACTTTTTTGTTAATATTTTGTCTGAAAATTTTGCAAAACAAACCCAACGCCTAGCCTTATTTGCCTCTTGTCGTATTACAGCCATTTTGTATGTCATTCTCTTCATTTAAAAAAAGTACCATATCAATCAAAGCAGGAATGTGGACATATCTTGCAGCGTTAGCGATGCTTTCGTTATCAGTTATGTCCGGTGAAATATGCGGACAGCCCAAATTGATCGACAATCATTTGCGCCTGCTTAGTCTGTGCGTATTGTTTTTATTATTATTATTTTGTTGTTTGTTAATAAGCCATTTCAATTACTTCCGCATTGTATTTTCAGAGACGTAAACAATGAGATTCATGAAATTGCAATACAATATCTTCCATCTACACAGACATTTTGATAAACATTTTTACCCTTTTCTTCATAGGTATAATTATTAATAAAAAAATAAAATGAGAATATCAAGCTATGCAAAGAAGAATTGGATAAAGTTTTTTGTCGTTTTAGTGTTTCTATCATATGTTGTACATTTCAACAGATTGACTATAGAATATATGTACGGTAAGTCCAGTATTTACAAAAAATGAAATGAAATGAAATGGGGTTTAACGGCCTACTGTCTTGCTCCTAAACTGGGCTAATGAAGACGGGCAGACGCCACACAGTGTGCTATGAATGAAATTGTGCCCGGGCTGCGCCACTACAGCCTACTCTTATATCGAATTCCAACTGCCAGGGGATCTTTTACGTGCACGCCAATGTGTACATGGGACCTCGGTTTTTGTACCATCCGAACGACTAGACAAGGGGAAACCACGTTGAAAAATCTGGATGAACTTTCTCGACCAATGCAAGGTTTGAACACCCGACCTCCAGGCTAGCGAGCCAGCGTCTTACCCACTTAGCCAGGTGATCCCTTATTTACAATAAAAGATATTTACGATAAATGCAGTATTTACAATAGAACATATGTACGGTAAGTCCAGTATTTACAATAAAACATATGATAAGTCTGGTATTTACAATAAAACATATGTATGATAAGTTCAGTATTGTCCCTTTCGTCTAATGGTTTGGGTGCAGCTATGGCGGGTGCGGTACGATTACTCTATCTTACCGACATTAACGAGATATAGTCAAAGCATGCTGGCGCCATTTATAAAACGATACAAAACGAGGTTGCGCCGACTATGCTTACGAAGACGGGCATACCATACAGTGAGCTATATGAGCAAATTTGCCCGGACAGCGACACAACGACTTACTCCTATATTAAGGGTTCTTTTACGTACACGCCAATGTACACACAGGACCTCGGTTTTTCGTCCCATCCGATCGACTATACGTTGTTCATTGTTAGGCCATCTATCCTGCACCACTGGCAAGTGGGAATGTCGGCCAACACTGGTATCGCTCACGCGACTTCCAGGTTAGCGGACCAACGTCTTACTCACTGAGATACCGTGGCTCCCATCGCCATTTTTAATCGTCATTAAATCCTTTAAGGTAGAAAGTGTCAATTATTAATAATACTTCGGGCATATATCTCCGTTAATTTTAACTACCTTCATCAATTGGTATAGCGCTGAGTGTTCCAGCTAAAAAGCTGCCCCAGGACGCTCTTCACAATTAAAATACATATAACGTGAAACAACAGTTTTAAAACATTAAGAAATTAAAATTTTAACATGTTCACAGTTTAAAGTAGCTAAGTCTCTAACTCAATATCATCCAAAGTCTTCGACATTGAAAACACGAATTATTTGTCAATTTAAATCAACATTGATGTTGTGATCTTACCGGGAAAAGATGGATTTCCGATATCCAATATTTAAGACAAAATAAATACTTTAGCATTGGTACACGAATCGGTGTTGACTGGTTTGTTGGCGTGCTCGGGGCAGTCCTCTCCCGCACTCACCGATTTTATTATCGAATCCCGAATAACGTGCTTACTGGTTAATCGGGGTTCGCGAATAACGAATAGCGCGCCAGTACGTTATTCGGGATTCGAGATTCGGCAGTAAAACAGACCGGCCTGACTTCCTTCTGACCATTTCCTCGCTGCCTCCTACCGTAGGGGTAATTGAACGTTAGGTGGCCGACTCGGCTAGCAAGGAGATGAGTAGGGGGTTGACTGGTTTTTTGGAGTGCACGGGGCAGTCCTCTATGCCGAATAACGAGCCAGCGGGAGAAGACTGTCCCGTGCATGCCAACAAACCAGTCAACATCCTAGTCGCTTGACAAACGGTCGTCGGTCACCCGACGTTCACTTACCCCTACGATCGGAGGAATTGAGGAAATTGGTAAGTCGGTCTATTTTACTGCTGAATTCCGAATCCCGAATAACGTGCTGGCCCGTTATTCGTAATTCGGTAATAAAACAGGTGATTACTGGAGAGGACTGCCCCGTGCACTCCAACAAACCAGTCAACACCCTAATCGCTTGACAAACGCTCGTCTCCGTGATAGCCCCCCCCCCCCCCCCAACGTTCACATACCCCTACGGTCGGAGGTAGCGAGAAAATGATCAGATGCAAGGTAGGCCAGTCTGTCTTAGTGCCGAATCCCGAATAACGTGCCAACTTCACGTTGACTCACCAGTTTCAGTTATTACTGTAGAAACATGTATTAAGCGTTTATCAGCAAAGCTTAGTGTTGAAAGTTTAATACTATCTGTTTTAGGACGTACTTGATTTCATGATCAGTTATGCTAGATTCCGGAAATCGTGATTTTAATCGTGGAGTAATCGTTGTAATCCTATCGGGTTTTATCATATATTGAGGTCAGTCGTAGCAATCGGGTTGGTCGTATCGAAATGTATCCGAACGTATCTGCGCGTACGAGATCGTGGCCTCAATAGGGACAATCACACGACAGTTGGAACGTAGCAATACAGAGATCGTAAATCATGCGGCTAGAGTATTGCGCTGGGTACTTTCCCGCTTTCCCGCTAGCGTTGGTGCAGAAAGAGCAGGGCGTATTTCTAAGATGGTTGGCATCAAAATCCCTTCTGAACACAGAGAACTCTATTCGAGAGTAGATCTCTGCCCTAAATACACAAAAAGACGAATTAAACCTTTTCAATTCTATTAAATGAAAGCAGAATATATACTTCTCAAAATTTCGAAATATAATAAGTGTTTTCAACTAAAATCGTCGATTTGGGACTTAAAGTTTCGGTCAACTAGCTTAGTTCCTGTTCTCAAGCGGGGCTAACTGTAGACAGACAGCCTAAGTTTAGTTATTGTAACAATTTCCGTATAATTTGTTTTCTATTGTAACCATCTATCATTATTGTTCGTATTTTATTATGTCCTCACCCATGTTTCAACTTACTTCATTATTTAGACAATGTGACAGTTTCCGGAATACTGAAACAACAAAGGGAGGCAATAAAGGAAATAGAAGGTATTTTTTTAAAATTTAATTATTTTTACCCTTGATTTAGTTTGATGGTACGAAACACTTCGTACGTATAAGCTCAAATCGGACCTAGATGTTGTGGTATAGTGTTCAATAAACATTTTGATGGACGAAACGTTATCACGTAACAAATCAACCATTTTGACAAATGTGCCATGAAGGCTATACTCTACTTGGTTTGGAGAGACAGCGCGAGAGAGGGGCAGAGAATGGGAGAGAGTGAGTACAAGAGAGACAGAGAGAGACAGAGTTAAACCACACACACTGGGGCATTTCGGGACTAACTTATAGTTCTGTTGTAGGGTCTATAGCTGTGTGAGGAACCCGGAGAAAACCCACGTGGTTGGGCAAGCGACCCTACTCCTTATCACACACAAGGGGTTAATCGAAACCCCGTCCACTTGACTCAATGACAGACCATGTGATTTGTGCCATTATACTGTCTACTTTCGATTTTAAACATTGATACATATAACATATTACCAAAATAATATATTTTCAGTAACAGATAACCATGTAATAAAAAAGGATGTAGCGGATATTATGAAACCAACGGTAAATATATACTTTAATAAACGCTAAGATCCTCCTTTGATAAATGCGAACAAATCGCTACTACGTTCCTTATTTGGGGGTTCTTTTTGGGCCAGTGCGATTTTCTCAAGTAATTGTGTCAACTTTATCCATCAACATCGCAGCATTACCAGTTTTGCTGATATAATTAGATTTGGGTCGTACGTTGGTGTCTGTTTTCGTATATATGTTGTTTGAGTACAGCCCAGTACAGTATACACGGTCATTAATAAGACGTTTTAGTTCAGTTGTTGTTGTTGTTGTTCGCAGGGTTAAACGCCCGCGTCCACCGAATGTGATATCGCATTATATTCCGCGCATGTGCAGGGGTCTTTATTGTGGACGCAAACCGGATTATCCGGAGTAGACATGTTGAGGAGGGTCCACATATCAGGGATCCAAACCACGACCGTAAGCCAGAGGTGGCGGGACAGCTAGAGCCCAAAGTGCGACACTCTAGACCACTAGACCTGACCGTTCATTTATTGCAGGGGTGGCCAACCTTTTGCATACCATTTGTCAATTTGGTCATACAACTCTTGTACCCCCGTCCACTTCTTGTAAAAGTTTATTGTGGGTTCAGTGTGCTAGTGCTTTAACGCGTGCGCGGGAAATCATAACATCTGTCATTGAGTCAAGTGGCGTGGTTTCGATCCCCCGCTTGTACGTGACAAACAGTAGGGTCGCCTGTCCAACTTCGTGGGTTTTCTCCAGGTTCTCCGATTTCCTGCCACTGCTAAAGACCCCTACGCGCAAACGAATTATTGAATTAAAACTGAACCATATGTTAGTCCCGAAATGACATGTTTTGTGTCGAGTGCACGTTAAAATCCATTTCTCTCTCTCTGTAAAAGTTTATTATAGACATTATAATTAGCTTTTTTATGGGACGATCGCAGAACAAAAGTCCATATTCCATAGTTTGATGAATTAAGCATATTTTAACTGAAAACAGAATAATATGTAAGAAGACAACATTTGCTAAAATAAATGTGCACGAAAATAATAAAATCGCTAAAAATAATTAATAGGCTTACTGCCTCACTTTATTATTATCACAGCTATGCAACGCGCCACATTTGACGCATGCACTGGAGTTTGGCCATCCTTAATTTATCAAATAAACTAATACTGCTGCTTGGGTAGGAAAAAGTTCCAGCATTCATAGTGGTCTAAGTTAAACTGTAAAGAAAACAGACAATTGAGAGGTATAAGATCTACAAGTGCGTTTTTTTTACATGTAATATAGAAAATAGTTATTTATTAAAATTAAATGTCATCTGATTAAAGCACATATCCTATTTCGTTTCGTTTTTTATAGTTCAAAATTTCGTTTTACTTGTCTTTACTACACTAGGATCTGAAAGAGTTTTTTATCATTGACGTGTTCTGGATGATGTGAGGGATTAGCCCATGAAACAGTCTGTTACGGCGAGCTCTTCGCAATCCACTAGAAACGTCAATGCTGATCGGTTAATCAAATGTCTGACGTCGTAGGGTCAAAAGTCGCTCGTATGACCTCTGACGTGACCTATCACTACATCCGCTCAGATCTTCATGTAGTGTCGGCCATCGAAAGTATAAAAAAAACGAAACGAAATATAGATCTGTATTTTAATCAGATTGAATTGTGAATGTAGATTATAAATATTTCTTGTATTTGTAGTTTGTTCCTGACAATGACCGGGTATCCACCAAAGGTAAATTTGGGTTTATAAATAATCAAACTTATATTGAAAATTTGCGAGAGAGAGAGAGAGAGAGAGAGAAAGCGAGAGAGAGAGAGAGAAAGAGAGACAGGAGGGAGAGGGGGTGTGTGTCAACACGACACAAGTTAGGCCATTTCGGGTATGGTTTAATTTTATTTCAATACTTCGTTTGAGCTTTATGGTCATTAGTAGTGGGAGGAAAACGGGTGACCCGGAAAAAATCAAGCGACCCTCTGGGCGTGTGGTACTTAAGCCATTTGGCTCAATGACAGACCTTATGATCTAAAGCGCGCGTGTTGGACAATTTGCTCAGCGCCCCTCGGTTTACAGACTACGTAAACCAGAATAGTAGCACTAAAGCCTATAACACACCAAAGTCGCGTTGTGAAGCTGGAGAAGGTCTTGTGAATCGGGTGCAGATCATGTTGAAAAGGCATTTAATAGATCTCGTCTCGACGAGTGACCGTGTGTTGGGAGTCTGAGAGTGATCTTGTTACATCGTATCGGGATCGTGTTAACGTCTGATTGGATCGTCTTGATCCTTGATCGGGTTGAGAGCGTGTTGGGGTCTTGTTTGATTGTATCGACATCATGCAGATACCGAGACTGTCAACCTTGGAGACTGGTGGAAGCATGTTTATCAAATTTGTACCGCAATTATACGCAACCTGCTAGAAATTGTGAGTCTCCTTGGATCGCCAAACATTTTAGATCTGGTCCGTACTTTATGCACAATATGAAACTACACGCCTATTTTTGATCATCATTCATACTATTCTGCAGAGGTCGTGATGGATCCAGACAGGATCTCTACAGTGTCTGGACAGAAGCAAGTTTGTCGTGTTGAGGTCGATCACTCGTCGGGTAGAGGTCAAGTTGATGCCTTTTCAACAAGACCTTCACCCGATTCACGATAACCTGATGGCGAGCCTCGCGATCCAAGAAGTCCTTATACAGCTTTACAACGCGACTCAAAATAATATGAGTCGCGGTGGTTCGAGCTTTGGTGTGAAAAATGTGTTTGAAAATAGTATCCGGAGCTTGGAATCTACTCAAAGCGTGCCGCGTCGTGATTAATTAGACTGAAATTCTAAAAAGACAGAACGACATAATAAGTTTTATTAGATCTAAATGATTTATAATTTCAGGATTTTTGACTATTGGTATTCCAACTGTACAACGTAAAGGTGCTGTTTATATTTTCTCAACACTCGAATCTCTGGTGAACAATTCCAGACCTAAAACAAAACACGCGTGGGAAGTTAAAATCGTCATTTTATTTGCCGATACCAACAAGACTTACAATGACGAACTTGCCAAAAACATAACAATTGTCTATCATGATCTGATTGACCAAAAGGTGATGCATCTTGTGACAATTCCAGGCAATTATTATCCCGACTTAGATCATTTAAAAATAACTTATAATGATTCCACTGTGCGTGTCAAATGGCGGTCTAAACAGAATCTGGATTACGCATATTTGATGGCGTATTCCGCAAATCTGTCTCAGTATTATTTACAACTAGAAGATGACTTGCTTACTAGAGAAGGATACCTTGACAACATCAAAGAATTTATTAAAGAACATAAAAAGCACGACTGGGCAATGCTAGATTTTAACGAATCGGGATTTATAGGTAAATTGTACCATAGCCCAGATATTGTCAAACTCGCAACTGTATTGAAATCATTTTTTAACGAAAAACCATGTGATTATTTGATATCAGACTTTTTGAAACTGATGCTTCAACAGAAACGATATTACTACAAGCCAAAATTATTCAGACATCTGGGGTTACATTCTTCTTTATCCATCAACAAACGAGTGACAGATCACCATTTTAAAAGATGAGTTATGGCAAGTTTTGTATGCTTTGTGTGGAATTTTTCCCCGCAAGAGTTCCACAGTAGAGACAACCATCGGAACCTGTTCAGGCTTTAATATGATAGTGTAACTATATAAACAAATATGTAGTTTGTTTTCTTTTCAAACATCTTATTTATTTATATATCCACCTGAGAGCTGTTTCCAGAACGTTTTGTATATATATATATATATATATATATATATATATATATATATACTCTTCAAAAAAGTAGGAGACATTCAGAAACAATACAAAACTGCGGAAATGCACTGCTGTTTTTATTAGAGGTAACCAGTGTATGTTAATAACAGGCCAATTGCCTACACATGAACATAAACAGTTCACATGGGCGGCTTATCTGACGGAACCATTTCACTCGCAAAGAGATACACTGTCAAAAGTGAAAATGGACGTTTTTGATTTTTGTCTTAATAATGAGTAATTGCTCCACCAATCCTCAGACATTCAGCAATTCGTCGTGACATGCTCCTAATCAACCGCCCAATCACGATTTGGGGCAATCTGACCCACTCCTCTCGCAGTGCCATGGCCAATTCTTGCAGTGTTGCCCGTCTCTTGATCATGTCCCGGACATGCTCTATAGGGGAAGGTCAGGACTCGTGGCTGGCTAAGGCATATGGACAATATGGTAACGCTGGAGGTAGTCATTCACAACACGAGCATTATCATCTTGAAAGATGAAACGTCGACCTGCACGTTGAGCAAAAGGTAGAACTATCGGTGCCAGGATGCGGTCACTGTAGTACACACCAGTGACCCTTCCTTGAACAATATGCAAGTCCGTTTTGCCAGTCATGGTGATTCCTCCCCACACCATAACAGACCCACGCCCGAATCTACCATGCTGTCTCCAAAACGCGAGCACTCCATCCGTGAAATCCAGAGTAAATCTGGACTCATCTGAGAACATTACACGCGCACATCGACGATTACCCCAATTTCTACGCTGCCTACACCATTGACGCCTGTTTTCCATGTTCTGGCGAGTTAATGGATGCACAACACGCGATCGTCGCGCATGCCGTCGTTTGGGGTGTAACACGAATTCCTATAACTTGGTACAAGTTTACAGAAAGCTGATTGGCCGTTTGTCCTCGATTTCGCACGACCTGTGTACGAATGTATCGATCCTGGGCTTGTGTAGTGGCTCTAGGACGTCCTGAACGAGGTCTATCATCAACATTGTGTGTTTGTTGGTACCGATTCCACAATCTGCTGATCACAGACTGTGACACATTAAACATGCTGGCTACTGCTCGCTGTGTAGAACCCATTTGAAGCATGCCAATAGCACGTAGATGTTCATCATGTTGAAGACGTCTCATTGCAAATGAAACGTAACACACTAAAGCAAAGATACGCTAAACGGTAAATCTTATGCAAGAACCGATAAGAAAGCAAACATGGATAGAATAAACCAGCACGCGGCAGTTTTCATCAACCCTTCCTTGAAGTGTCAAATTTGACAATGAACCCCTCCCACATGTATGGCGCTATTGCGTGTCGCATGTGCAGCTCAGTGGTTCATCTGTGAACATACTCTCAAAGCATATTAAGTGTCCATGACTATTTATCATATCACAACCTGTATAGGTATTTGCATCTGAATATCCCCTTCTTGTCTTTGAAGAGTATATATGTATATAGTTAGCTCCGCTAGACACTAATCTAGCTGGCCAATATTGTAAGTCCTAAATCGACGATTTTAGTCGAAAACACTATGTATACTTCTAGAATCGTGAGAACTATGTATACCGATTCCATTTAATAAAACTGAAAAACTTTATTTGTTCTTTGTGTGTATGAGAGATGTGAAACGGAGTAGAACCGCATTACAAAATAGTATACTAATTTTGGGATATGGCGGCCATTCAGTACAGAGATCTATTCTCGAAGTATGAAGTAGATGGATCTCTGAGTGCAGAATGAAGTTCAAATAACTAAATTTCATTAAAAATAAGAGTCTATAGTGCTTTGCACGACAAAAGTTCTACGAGTTATTGGATTTAGAAAACAATCCATTTTTCCAAAACTTTCTTTTCAGTCATCTCTATCTTCCAGTACTACATTCCACAAGTTTTAGATAAGTGTCTTAAGTATGTGGTGTTTTCCGTGATCCATGGAGAAAGCCCTAATCTGATAAAAAAAACATTGACATTATACAACGAACGATAGTAAATCAAATCATTCGCTACGAAAAGGGAGGTAACTAATGAATATCGACTTTAATTCGACACAGCTCGCCAATTTTTACTATTTATGTCCCGTTCCCTTTTCCATGACGATTTTTGTTGATTTTTAGGTGTAGAATCGAAGGAAAGGGTTTGAATATACATTGTCCGTCAGGTTTTTGTGAATATTCATGATTTTGAGAAGGAAGGATAAGAGTGGGTTGAAATGTAGGGCGGACGGTTGTATGTCTGTTTGTATGCTACTTCCAGTTTGTGTATCTCAAGTTTTCCATGGTGAACCTCATACCAGCTTTTCAGCAAGAAGTGGCTTCATCTATGGTAGAAAGCGCTCAACCCCACGAAAATTTGGGAAAAAGTTATACGAGAATTAACTTTAAAATCAATGGGGAAATCAATAGTGACCTGTAGCCAATTGCTTCTTCTCATTCCATTTTTTTTAGAAATTAATTGTCTCGTTCTCCCCTTTCCTTTCCCTTTTGTCTGATATGTCTTTTTAATTTTTTGGTCAAGAATTGACGAAAAGAGTTTGAATTTATAATTTCTACCAGATTTTCGTGAATAGTCATGATTTTGAGGCGGAAGTAGTAATCAGATATGAATTAGGAAAAAGACGTACAAAAGTTGAGAATATAGATTCCCTTGACCGGGCGTAGCAAAATATATAGATGGTCAACATCCTTAAATACTTCTGACATGTTGGGCTATTTGTGGTTATAAAGATTAAGATTATCGGAATGTTCAAAAACAATGGGAGTAAACAGTGCGCTCATACTATTATCAAGTACTATAGCTGCCACTCATTAAAGATACATTATGGGAGATTAGACAAAGAGCTGACAGTTCTCACTATAATAGTTAAAAACTAGATAATGTAAAGGGATTTTGCTGAAAATTTTAGTCAAAGTGACCCATTCTGAACCCAGATTTTAGCGATTGAATTTTCGGCATAGCCTCGATTATCGTTACTAAAGTCGGTACGATTAAAAAAAAACATAGTCTCGATTGTCCATTTCCTGATTAAATCAAGAATGAAAGTGGAACAGCATATAGTCTTCTAATCCAGTAAATATCGCAGGCTAGCGTTGAAATGGTCAGGATAAGTTAATTAATGTCTAATTAATAATTTAGATAACATTTCAGGCCCAAAGAAAGACTAGCAATAGGCAGATTTAGCTCTTGCGTAATGTATGTTTAATAAAGTATTATGGTAAACTGATGGTTAGTTTAATATAACCAATATAAATGAATTACCATTTTAAAACATCCCAAAGCTTCGTATTTTAAAATGTAGACTATTAAAATTTAATGACAACATGTTGATACGGCAATAAAACCAAAACTCAATCTAGTTTACTGGTATAAGAGGGATATTAAAACATTTGAAACCCACAGTACAAAATGTCGAGTATTAAACATCGTCTGTCAACTCTGGTATTTACTGCAAGGGTTCTTGTTTCATCCCATTTGGTGGTGTTACTCCAGGACTGTTCCCTGAACAACGTCGGTGCAGTCTGATTGCCTTCAAACTCTTAAATACTATCTCAAGCAGTTCTATGAATGTTAATACACTTGCCCCAAGACAGAAACCCATGTATCTTCCAAGGTGGCTGATAATATCCCCGAAATCCAACCCCGGCTCATGTTCGACCGTAGTGACCATCGTGTCTTTAAACATGCATTATGCAAGAGCAAAATCTGCTTATTACAAGTCTTTCTTTAGGCCTGAAATGTTATCTAAATTATCAATTAGACATTAATTAACTTATCCAGACCATAATGAACTCTCGATGTCAAGGCTAGCCTTCGATGTAGGCTGGATTAGATTCCTATATGCCGCTAACGGCCAAAGATAATTAAATCAGAAAAAGTGGATAATCGAGACTATGCTGTTTATATTAATGATTTTAGTAATGATAACCGAGACTATGCAAAAATTTCACCCGCTTCTTTCTCGGCTCATAGTGGATCAATTTGACTGAAATTTTCAGCAAATTACCTTTACACTATCTAGTTTTTAACTATTATAGCGAGAACTGTCATCTCTTTATCTTGTCTCCCATAATGTATCTTTAAATGAAATCCTAAAATAAGTCGACCGGAGTTGAATTGTTCAGGTGCGGCAAGGAGTAAAGTTCGTAATCATGTTTGGTTTCCAGACACGGTCTTTTACAATCACAAACTCGGGAGAAGCAGATGGTTCCAGGGCACAAAAATGTCTTTCAGCAATAGTACAAACTCTACTGGAATTGTCATGAAGTAGTGATTCTTTAATACAACCACACAGCGATTGAGTACGATGGGTCAGACATTTAATAATACATCTAGCATGGGAGTACGGAGAATAATATTCACCAAACAACTGATTTGGTTTCTCGACTTGTAGACATTCCTGATTCTGGAAAGAATTGTACAGACTAGGAAGATATTTATATCGCTTTTTAGAGATCGAAACCTCATGTAAATATCCTGGAGAAAACTTGATTGATTGGGAACGAACATGGATTGGGTAATCAGGATGATGGAAGATAAGGCGAACCGCAAATGCTGCAGAATAAAAAGCATACCTGTTTTTGTTAGTATCCATATGTAAAAACATAGCAGTTTGTAGTCATATGTCTTATTACAATATCTCCTGTTAAAAATGAAACATTTTTCAAGGGATTTCCTGTAAGTTACTGAGAATTCTGATTCCACGGGGAACGGTTCCGGATTAACTACATATGAATAGCCAATTATATCATAGATCTCAAATTCCAACTTGTTTAATTCTCTTTCGTTCGGTGTCCAATCTAGCCATTTTGAATCAGATGCGCATTAATCAATGCACGTAGCATTTGTTCAACATATTCCGTCACCCAAGGATCCGCTTTATTAATGTTATCGATGTTGGATTTATTAGATTTATTTCTGTCAAACGGATCCAAGTTACAGAGAGTGACCATCGGGAATTCATACACTGCCCCAAAAATTAAACAAGTAAGTGAAGCCCCTGTAATTGCTTGCCAAGGCAGATAATGCGTAGATGCTCTGTCTGTGTAAATGCGTTATTAAATCTATGATACCTGACGATTACACCTTCTATACTTACCCGTATTTGCTTGTGATAAGCCGTCAATGTTTTTTAACCCTTTTGTCATTGAAGATATTTTTTGTGGATATACATCTGATAAAAGTCGCGAAGGTGTGTAGAATTGATAAGAATAATCTTGTCAATACTGTAAACATGGTGCGGGTGGTTGGAGGGGGTGGTAGGCTGCAACTGGAATGCTTTCATTGGATGCATCAACTCTGCCAACATATGAGAGTGATCAGAGGGTTGGTGGGCTGCACCCCTCCCAGATGCGTCCAACTGGAATAATTTCAAAGGCCGAATTGACAGGGATAATGATAACCACTCTTCCAAAAATCCATGAACGAAACTTTTACACTTATGAACGCGAAGGGTCGACAGCTGACATTAACGCGCTGTTCGAAACTGGGACTTGGTGCATGTTCTTTGTAATCTTTTACCTCTTATTATTCTTTTTTTCTCGGGCGACGTTCTTTAAAAAAAGGAATCCTATGGCTGCGCCAATTTGAGTACGGTCAAGATAATATGTCACAATTCCAAGATGGCTACCAGTGCATGCTCGGTTTCTGTTTGATTTAGTAATCTCATACTGGTTTGTATAATCTAGAAGATATCGGAATAGATAAATTTGTAATTAGTTAGATATGCCGAGTCGGATTAAGCTTGCATGGCGTGCCTGGCTGAAATTGTTACTGGACGTATAGATAAGTATTATGTAATGTAATACCAAGATAAGTGCATTGCATCATCTAAGATAAGAATCTATGATAAATAGCACGGAATCTCTATATTAGCTAATATAAACAATATGTTCCTACCAGCAACAGTGGTTCTTTGGTCAATATATTTGACCAACGCAGCACCAAGTCAACCACATATACTATTAATAGTAGCAGATGATTATGGTTGGAATGACATTGGTTACCATGGTTCTGAGATTAAAACACCGACCTTGGACGGGTTAGCTAAAGAAGGGGTTAAGTTAGAGAATTATTATGTTCAACCCATTTGTTCACCGACTAGATCACAACTTCTCACAGGTAGATATCAGGTAAGTCTTGTAGTGTTATTGGAACTTATAATATCCAGATATCGGGTATGTCTTGCAGTTGGAACCTATCAGATCCATATATTGGGTAAGTCTTGCAGTGTTATTAGAACTTATCAAAGCCACCATCTAGGTATGCCTTGTAGTTGGAACCTATCAGATCCATATATCTGGTATGTCCTTATCATAGCCAGCAGATATCGGCTATGTATTTCAGTGTTATTGGGACTTATCATAGCCAGATATCCGGTATGTCTTGTAGTTAAGACCTATCAGATCCATATATTGGGTAAGTCTTGCCGTGTTATTTCATATCTCATAGGTAGATATCATGTAAGTCTTGCAACATTTCACTGATAGCTATCAGATAAGTCTTGCAACATTTTTTCCGGCGTGGCTCCCCATTGTAAGTGATGCAGAATTCAGGGCCTGGACGGGGATTGCCTGGAGACGTTCGGATCGGACGAAATATCGCGTTCTGCTAAAAGAACCCTTGGCAATTATAATTCGCTATACGAGCAGGCAGTAGTGCCAATGTCCGGACAAAATGTCCCTCATAGCGCACTGTGTGACATATGCCTGTGCGCTTTAGCCCAGTCGGAGCAGAACAGTAGGACGTCAAACCCAATTTCATTTCATTTCATTTTCAATATCTCATAGGTAGATATCAGGTAAGTCTAATAATCGTTTCTGAACATCTGATGACACTGCATGCCAGATGCCTGTATTCATTAGCACGGTTATTTCGACGTCTGAACATCTTACTGGAAGACATGGGTTGGGCTGATTTAATGTGTGAAGGACCAGTAAGTGTGGATACCAGGGTACTCGAAAGATTCACAACCTAATAATAGCATAATATTTATGAACATATCTGTCAATTCTACACAATTTCTGCTGTAACCTATTATTGCTCTACACATAAGGACGACACAGGACAGGGTCAGATTTAAGTCACACTTCAGAAGTCAGACGAACCATCTATAGAGCTAAAGGCCCAATTTCAGGCGTGACTTTCGACAAGAGGTGTCAGAAAATTTACCACCAGTCAAAATTCTGGTGCGCCAGATACATTAAGCAGAGGTCAATCAGACGAATTTCGAGGACCACTTGGTGTCGGTTATTATTACTTGTTGCGGCGCAAATGCCTGTGTATTTATAAAGAGGGGTTGGGGGTGGGGGGTGGATGTCCGAATGGTTAGCACTTGCGCGCTGTATCATAAGGTCTGTCATTGAGTCAACTGGCGGGGTTTCGAATCCCCAGTTGTACGTGACAAGGAGTAGGGTCGCTTGTCCAACCTCGCGGGTTTTCTCTGGTTTCCTCTCACTGCTAAAGACCCCTACGCGCAAGCGAATTATTGAAATAAAATTGAACCATGTGTTAGACCCGAAATGACCTAGTTTGTGTTGTGTAGACGTTAAACCCCATTTCTCTCTCTTATACGAGGGGTTGGATGGCCGAATGGTTAGCGCGTGCGTGTTGTATCATAAGGTATGTCATTGAGTCAACTGTCGTCGTTTCGATTTCAAGGTTGTACGTGACAAGGAGTAGGGTTGCCTGTCCAACCTCGTGGGTTTTCTCCTGGTCCTCCGGTTTGCTCCTACTGTCAAAGACCCCTACGCGCAAGCTAATTATTGAAATAAAATTGAACCATATGTTAGTCCCGAAATGACCTGGTTTGTGTCGAGTGGACGTTAAACCCCATTTCTCTCGACACCCTCGAACTATAAACATTGTGATTGTTCTATCTGATTCAATTAGATTCATACCGGGCTACAACATAGTATAATATGGTGGTCTCAAGATAGTGGTTTACCATCTGATAGTCCAACCATTGCTGAGAAACTAAAACATGTTGGTTATAAAACACACGCTGTTGGTAAATGGCATCTAGGATTTGCAAGGGTAAAATATTTACCAACAAGTAAAGGTTTTGATACGTTTTATGGTAGGTATTTGATCATGTATTTTGGAAACCTATGTAGGCCTCTTTCAGTTACAACAAATAACTGTAGGTAGCTTCGAAAATAATCTGGTAACCTGCAATAAACAGATGTATGTTAATGTGATATTAATTAGACAGTACAACAGAAGGTTCCTGCGACTTTTATGACATCTGAAAAGGATGATATCTAATCCACTCTGCAATATGTATATACGACCAATCATGCCTGAAGTTGAAGAGACTTTGGGATCGGTTTCTTGATTCTGTAGCGGAATGTCTGCTTGATGAGTGGGCATGTTGGTCTAGCCCAATAGTTATACGCCGTACAGTATTGTGTGATTGTATATAAACATCATATGTTTTCTTGTTCTTGGTGTAAATAAAGTTAATATTTATGTATTTGTGTCTGGACAAGGATAGCTGTCTAGTCCTTCGGATGAGACGAAAAACCGAGGTCCCGTGTATTGGAATGCACGTAAAAGATCCCTTGGCAGTTGGAATTCGATATAAGAGTAGGCGATAGTGCCGCTGCCCGGGCAAAATTTCCCTCATAGCACACTGTATGGCGTATGCCCGTCTTCATTAGCCCAGCATAGGAGCAGAACAGTAGGACGTTAAACCCCATTTCATTTCATTTCATTTATTCGTGTCTGAGGTAATCTGACGTGGTTACATATATCAGCAGTTATGGCTGCCGTGGCCATTAACCTGATACAAATCTATGTTGCAGTTTCATATGCGTTACGTCAGAAGTCAAAGAGAACTAAAAGACTGAGTCGGTCTGGCGCAACAAAAAAAATCCAACACTTATCTTTTTAAGTCGAGGTTACGAGATTACCGTCGAGGGTATAACTGCATTTTTGATAACTGCAGTTTATCTTTGATATTATGTAACACGATGGTTACTTTCTCAGGTTTAATCAAAATCTAACATACATTTGTCATCATAATATTCACATTTAATCGCTAACTTGGGGGTCCCGTGATCGATCCAAGTGTTGGCCGAGAAAGTTTATGGGGATTATCCCGAGTGGTTCCCCCTTGGCATTGAAGTGGGATAGATGGCCTTGGCATTGAAGTGGGATAGATGGCCTTGTCATTGAAGCGGGATAGATGGCCTTGCGTATAGTCGTTCGAATGTTACAAAATACTGAAGTCCTGTGTACACATTGGCTGTTTTAATTCCAGATATGACTAGAACAGTAGGACCTTAAACCCCATTTCATTTCATTTAACAAATTTAATCAATAGCTAACTGATAATATTCATTATAGTATTCACAAGTTTAATCAATATGCAACTTATGATATACATAAGCCACATTAATAAGCATAGTTATGCTTGTTTTCATATGCTACATACAATATTTATAGTTATAAACATTGCAAATAAATACTGTTTAAACCAAAAGTTTAAAAAATATCTTGAAAATTACATTTCAAATTAATTATATTACCTTATAAAGAGAATAACGAAACTTGTTATTGGCCCACTATCATGTGGTGACTTGTATCCATTATGGGTTACACATTGCATAATCTACGTTTACATGCACGTCAAGGCAATCAAGGGACCTCGGTTTTTCACCCAACTCACCGTTCCTTGTCGGGCTGTCCGTCATGCACCACTGAAACGGGGAACCGGGATGGAAAATCAGGAGATGAGCTTTATGGACCAACGCCGGGAAGGGACCAAAAACCTAGTAACCAACGCTGCATCAAGGTATAACTTATATTTTTTTTCATTATCCCTTTGAATTAAAAATTATACTGCACATTTTTTAATTGAAGGTTTTTGGGGTGGAAGTGAAAGTTATTCGGGGCATATATCTTGTGACGATCTACACTGGTCTCATGTGAACCATTCGAGAGTTTGTGGATTGGACCTGAGAGACAATCTTGCGATTGACAGAAGTCAACATGGACATTATTCTACACATTTATTTACCGAGAAAGCCATCGATATTGTTCATAAACACGATAAAACAAAGGTATACATCGGTTATAATAACTCCCACCCCACCCGTACTCCACCCCTTGTAATAAATCTTCAAATTTCATTATTGATATTGTCCATAATCACCATAAAATAAATTAGGCATCACTTATAATCCTCCAATCCCTATAATAATCCAAACCCACTCATTATAATAAATCTTCAAATTCCTTTATCGAAGATTAGTGACATTCCACTTTTTATTTGATCGTGAAATACCATTTTATAATAGACCGTCAAATCAGGGACCTTGAGAGGGAAAAAAATGTGCTGCGGCGAGACGTTTTTGCCCCCCCCCCCCACACACACTCTTTCCAACACTAGCCATATCTAGATGATTCAGTTGCACTATAGCCACTAGTTATCTGAAACATCGATCGGTTTACCAAGGGTTAAAAGCAACTTTCTTCTCAGGAAAAATTGCGTTTCAGCGGGGATTTTGATTAAGCAGATTGCGATATAGCGAAAACGTTTGTACATATTTATATTATAAGCTTCAAAGGAACAATGTAAAATTCATGCATAGTTGCCCATTTTAATTTTGAACTTAGATATTCATGGGCCCCGTAAACTCTTATCGGCCCTGAGGCGGCGCACCGGCTGCACCCCTTCTGATACCACTTTCTATAACTGTCAAATCGATCACAGATGTATAATATGTTAGTATTAATTTCAGCCCCTGTTTCTGTATTTGCCCTACCAAGCACCACACGCGCCGATGGAAGTACCTAAGAAGTATGAAGATATGTATTCAAACATCAAAGACGTCAACAGACGGATATACGCAGGTACACAGTTTAAAGAAAGAAAACCTGATTGGTTGTCGTCAAAATAGATGATGAACCAGGCTCATCTGATGCGTTTGTATACTTAGAAGGAACCTTATTAATAATCAAACATTTATTTTGGGGGGTTTCCTTTCGCGGAAGACCACCGTCGATCTATTTGAAAAACACAAACACAGAGACAGTCAGTGTAAGCATAGCATTAAATCATGGTTTTAGTGATAAAATTTGATATTGTTTATCTGTTGGCATGGTTACATGTGTGGATGAAGGTATACAGTTGATATTGTTTAATTGTAGGCATGGTAACATGTATGGATGAAGGTATACGGAATGTAACCCACGCCTTTAAACAAGCTGGGTTATGGGATAACACCATCCTGGTCTTTACCACAGGTAAGATGCTATCCTGGTCGTTATTACAAGTTTGATGATATTCTGGTCTTTGCGACAGGTTTCAAAACTGGTCGAAGATGAGCACAGCACCAACAAGCAACCGGGATAAGAGAAATATAACCAAGCTACTTTTGAATATGGGCTACCACACAATACATATACCAAAGAGACCAAGAGAACTTTTTGTACCAGAAACTGGTCCCCAAGCGCTGCTCATATTATCGATCTTCTTCTTGGGGCGACGATGACATGCTGTGTTCTTGGTACATATATTACTCTCGTATTTATTAAAGCATCTACGACAAATTTCTATTTATCGTTTGATTGTCCAAATTATTCTTGTAGACAATGGTGGATCTGTAAAGAACCATGGCAGTAACTGGCCATTAAGAGGAGGTAAAGGTACCTTGTTTGAAGGTGGTGTTCGGGGAGCAGCTTTTGTTCATGGTAATCGTCTAGCTAAGAAAGGTTACGTCAATCATGAACTCATGCACGTTTCTGATTGGTATCTTACATTTGTTAATTTAGCCAATGGAAATTTAGAAGGCACCAAACCATTGGATGGATTCAACCTATGGAATACGATCAGGTAGTTTATTTGCTTTATATAACAAAGGACACATTTTACAAATGTGAAAATCATCTCACACAGAGAAGTATTGGGAACGCATCAGCCATCAGTAGCTTTTCAGGAAATGTTTGTTTTGTCAACCAGTGAAGTAGGGTTTTCTTACAAATCGGACAAGAAAAAAACAAAAATTGATTTATTGAAATGATTTTGTTTTATTATTACACGCACGCTGAGAATCTAAAGGAACTAATTGGCCTGATCAATCGATGTGTTGCACAATTTACACACCCTCCAAACAGAAATACAATGAAGTGGGGTTTAACGTCCTGCATGTCTGCACCGATTGGGGTAATGAAGACGGGCATACGTCATTCGGTGTGCTATGAGGAAAACTTTGCCCTGAAAGCGGCACTACGGCCTACTTGTATATCTAAGTCCAACTCGGAAGGGTTTTTTTTACATGCACACCAATGTGTCCACGGGACCTCGGGTGTCGAATACGTGACCTAGAGGTAAGCGAGCCAACGTCTTACTCACTCTACCATCCTTCAGACACTGAAAACAGCAATAGCGTTACAGCTGATTACATGATATCTTGTCCGAGATTTCGTCCTGCCTGTATAGATTACATGGCTTACATGGTGGATAACATGGCTTGACAAGCTATATCCTAAAACGTTCATGGGTGCTATATTTCTTGAAAACAACAAAATGTGGTCTAATAATAATTTGGCAAATGTTTCTGTTGTCAAACTTTAAAACTTGCAATACAGATTAGTGGGCTACATGTGAAATGCCTGATAGACCAAACCGAGCTAAAGCTGGGTGGGCGAATGTTTAACGCGTGCGCGTTGGATTATAATGTCTGTCATTAAGTCCAGTGACGTAGTTTCGATTCCCCGCTTGTAGGTGACAAGGCGTAGGGTCGTCTGTCCAACCTTGTGGGTTTTCTCCGGATCCTCCGGTTTCCTCCCACTGTTAAAGATCCCTTTTTGCAAGCGAATTATTGAAATAAAATTTAACCATTAGTTAGTCCCGAAATGACCTAGTTTATAACGAGTGGACGTTAAACCCCATTCTCTCTTTTGTAGTCATGGTGCTAAAAGTCCTAGAACAGAACTTCTACATAATATAGATCCATTACAAGTTTGGGGAAAAAGAGCGTTCGCTGATACATTTGATAACAGAGTTAGCGCGGCTATCAGAGCCGGAGACTGGAAGCTTCTTACTGGTCAATATGAAGGGCTGCCAGGTAAGTTGTTCAGTTAACTTCTAAACGCGTTCAATAGTTCCATTATAAGGAAAACGTTGGTAAGATATCCTTAACTATTTTCCAACCTCGTGGGTTTTCTCCGGGTCCTCCGGTTTCCTCCCACTGCTAAAGACCCCTACGCGCAAGCAAATTATTGAAATAAAATTGAATCGTATGTTAGACCCAAAATGACCCAGTTTGTGTAGCGAGTGGACGTTAAACCCATCTCACTCTCTCTCTCTCTCTCTCTCTCTCTTAACTATTTCCATTATAAGGATAAAGTTGGTAAGACATCCTTCACTATTTCCATTATAAGGAGAACTTTGGTAAGACATCCTTCACTATTTCCATTATAAGGAGAACTTTGGTAAGACATCCTTCATTATTTACATTATAAGGTGAACGTTGGTAAGACATCATTCACTCTTTCCATTATATGGAGCACGTTGGTAAAACATCCTTTACTCTTTCCATTTTATGGAGCACGTTGGTAAGACATCCTTCACCATTTCCATTATATGGAGCACGTTGCATGATAAGACACCATTCACTTCCATGTGTAGTTATCATGATTAGTTATTCCCACCATAGACGGAATGCGTTGTAAATATCGCCACCTATTCCCATTATAGACGGAATGTTGTGATTGATTGCGTTGTAATTATCGCCAGCTGTTCCCATTATAGACGTAACATCCTTGTGATTGAGTGGTAAACACCATCAGCCCCATAGACAGAGAGCTGTGACTTATTTTACTAATGAACAGTTGGATTGTTGAAAAGCGCTCTTGTTGGTTGTTATATAATATGTTCCATATGCAAACAGGAACTAACTAGAAACGCCACGGGTGCCTTTGCTCTCTAAATGCTATGCACAAGGAACCAAGTCAAACCGTGCCAAATACATACTTATATGTTTTTACATCGCATGAGCCTATTTTGTCAACAGCCCTTATAAATATGTGGTCGTGGGTTCGTCATCGCCACACGTGTCCTATTTGTATTTATTATAGATGAATATACAACAGTGATAAATTGAATAGCTGAACACAACACGTGTTCGAAACCCAGCTCAGCCAGAGATAAAGTGTTCTAGATAACACGTATTCGACACTCAGCCAGAGATGATATGTAGTATTCTTGATAACACGTATTCGACACCCAGCCAGAGATAACATGTAGTATTCTAGATAACACGTATTCGACACCCAGCTCAGCCAGAAATAAAGTTTTCTAGATAACACGTATTCGACACCCAGAAAGATATAGAAGGGCTATTTAAAATAACAGCGCGATGATCTAGCACGAAGCAATCTAGAAACATACGTGCTCCTGGTCACTGGTCAACCAATCTTTCATTTTTAGTCCATTTAAACTTTGTTTCATTTCCAGAGTCTAAAGAATGGGGGAAAAGACCGGAAGGTCAAGGCCATGGTATAGTTGGTCGCTCATCCGGACAGACAAATAAAGTCGTTCGCGCATCATCCGTACAAAAAAGTATTATGTTGTACAACATCAGAGACGACCCAGAAGAGCGACACGACGTTTCAGCACAACATCCAACAGTGGTCAGGGATTTACTAGATCGCCTTAAGTACTATAACCAAACAATGGTACCAGTACATTACCCACCAGGGGATGTGAAAGCTCTTCCAAATTTACACGGTGGTGTTTGGACACACTGGTTATAAATATCGAAAGGCATCTGGCGTGGTGGGATAATATGAGGTTGTGTGGACTTTGGTTATAAATAAAATGTCTAATAAATATTATGGTTTTCTTTCTTTTGAAAATATTAATTCATTTTGTGCATATGTGCCCTTTGAAAAGCAGTATTCCTGTTCGTGTGTGTAGAAATGAAATAGGGTTTAACGTCCTACCATTCTGCTCCGACTGGGCTAATAAAGACGGGCATGTGCCATACAGTGTGCTATGAGGGCAATTTTGCCCGGACAGCGGTGCAACGACCTACTCTTATACTGAATTCCAACTGCCAAAGGATATTTTCCGTGCACGCCAATTTGTACACGGAACCTCGGTGTTAGTCCCATCCGAACGACTAAACAGCTGTCCTTGTCAGGCCCTACGTCCCGCATCCCTGACAAGGGAAAACCACGCCGGAAAATCCCGATGAATTTTCTCGGCCGCGTGGGTGTAGAGTATGTCATGCCTCATTCGTCATCGTTCGTTCCTGGATTTTTACGTTCACTTCCACCTAGGGTAATATCGCAGACAAGTGTTTCCTAAGAAACTTGCCAGAAGAAGCCACATAAATAGACGTAACGTCTAATTTGCAGGAAAGCGCCCGGGTAAAATACATCCAAAGGAGAACGCTGCGGGTGTTAAAAATCCGAGCGTGCGCAGGCTGGCCCGCTTTGCCATAAATGCTACGATCTTAAATAAGATAGGTAGATTAGGTCTGAATGTCAGCAGGGCCCGAGCAAATATTTACAGTGCTAGTCGTTGTCGTGCCGTGAGCGTTACCAGCAAAACAAAAACGACCTCCAAAGGGCATGATACATTCGTTATAACTACGGACCTATATATTATACTGGGAGCCACGGTGGCTCAGTGATTGAGACGCTGACTTACTAAATATCAAAAAGCATCCGGTGTGGTGGGATATGACGGTGTGTGGACACAATTAGTAGACATTTTATTTATAAGCATTTATAAATAAAATGCCTACTAATTATTATGGGTTTTATTAATATAATTAATTAAAGCAAAGATTCACTTTTTATAGAGCGCGAACGATGTCATAACAAATTCGCATCTGAAAGTTACCAGTATGAATACACATCTTTACGTATGATTAGTGTTCGGTTAACCGGTTAACGTTCTACTGTTCTGCACCGACTGGGCTAATGAAGACGGGCATACGACGTACAGTATGCAATGGGGGGGATACCCATCGTCAATTATGATTAAGACCCCAGGTTAGCGAGCTAACGCCTTACCCAGTGATCAGATTACAGATTCCTTATTAGTTTGATGTATTTAGTTAAACAAGACTTGGGTACATAAGGAAATATCAACACAGTAACGCTTGCCGGGGTTTAACTCGTTGTCGCGGTTGGACTTTATATGAAGGATCAGTCTGTCCTGGGTTACTTGTGAAAAAAGCATTAATAATTCAAAAATTCACTAAAGCAAGTATCTCACTGGGCTGCGACTGCTTGCAATAATTTCCTAACGGCATTCTCGAAACGTTCGCAGTGGTTCTCAATTTAGGAAGGCATCGCTCTCGTGAAGGGTAAATATGCTATTCTATGCTAATTAGTAACCACATATAGGCACACAATGAGTTCGTACGTAACTATCGCTTGAAAACTAATTAGAACTATCAGTTTTTTTCTCCCCTTGATCCTACTCAAACACTATCACCTTTCAGGTCCAGCTTCGTTTCTTCGGTTTGATACACAGGGGGGGGGGGGGAGAGGGTGGATGGCTGAATGGTTAGCGTGCGCGCGCTATATCATAAAGTCTGTCATTGAGTCGACTGGCATGGTTTCGAATCCCCGGTTGTACGTGGCAAGGAGTAGGGTCGCCTGTCCAACCTCGTGGGTTTTCTCCGGGGCCTCCGGTTTTCTCCCACTGCTAAAGACCCCTGCGCGCAAGCGAATTATGTAAATAAAATTAAACCACATGTTAGTCCCGAAATGACCTAGTTTGTGTCGAGTGGACGTTAAACACCATTTCTCTCTCTCCCTTTGATACACATGATGTACAGGTGCCCAAATAATACAGCAAATACCCAACCCTCAGGGGATCACGTTAGCACGTGCGTGCTGTATCATAACGCCTGTCATTGAGTCACCTGGCGTGGTGTTCGACCCCTGTATTGACCGAGAAAGTTCATCCAGATTTTCCGGCGTGGTTTCCCTTTGTCAGTGATGCAGGACTGACAAGGACAGCTGTCTAGTCGTTGGGATGGGACGAAAAACCGAGGTCCCGTGTACAAATTGGCGTGCACGTAAAAGATCCTTTGGCAGTTGGAATTCGATATAAGAGTAGGCCGTAGCGCCGCTGTCCGGGCAAAATTTCCCTCAAAGCACACTGTTTGGCGTTTGTCCGTCTTCATTAGCCCTGTTTAGGAGCTAAACAGTAGGACGTTAAACCCCATTTCATTTCATTTATATAATTTCACATGCTGTACGATATGGGTGTTTGACAACCTACCCAAAAATTGTAGACCCACCGGTCAAACAGAGTTACGAGTTTTAAAAAAGAATGTCAAAACAGACAGAATAAGCTTAAAAAAAATACGAAAGTCAATTTCTGAGTAGAAATGGCGATTTAATGCAAGACAGAGATTAATACTGATCATTTGCTATGAGGTGGATGTGATGTGACTTTTCACTCCGGCAAAGTATAATTTGACATTCTTTTTTAAAATTCTAATATATATATATATATATATATATCAACTCTTAGGTTTATATACCAAAAATACTCAGATTTGGGTAAAAATACGTGTTTCACCAGAGCTTGTCAATAATAATAACAATGACGTCACGTCATGGAAGAATAAGCATACAACAATATAATAATAATGAAACAGATATATATATAAATAGCATAATATTGTTATTGTTATTATTATTGCATGTCTTGACAAGCTCGGGCGAAACATGTAGACAATTAAACAATAGTACCCATGAAACCTCCAAGGTGGCTGATAATATCCCTGTTCGACCGTAGTTTCAATCGTGTCTTTAAAGGGAATTTTTTTAAAGCAATCCAATTACTGCTGAAACGGTGACCTTTAATCAGAATGGAAGAGAGTTCATAATGATATTTGATTTCGGTTCACGGTCTCTTACAGTCCTAAAAATCCGTAGTAGAATTATCATATAATGATTTCAACATGTCCAGGGCACAAGAATGTTGTCATGAAGGAGTGATTCTATAATATATTAAGAGAAGCTGATACAAGTCGTTCTTGACAACCATGTCTATCATGCAAATGGCGTTCGAACTATATATTCGAATTTAATTGAGACTTTGTCACAAACAAAATGATGTGGATGAATCATTGATTGCAAGGAATATTTTTTTAATTTACGTATTAATAATAATATGCATTGTCGTATTACTAACAAGGGTTCCTACTGTACACTTGCAAGGATTAATTGAATCAGACCGAGAAACAGATGTTTCTAAATTTTGAATATGTCTTTCAGTTTATTCAGCTACAGGACTCCAAACTTCACGCGGTGCCTGTGTTACACATTCTATTGTCATTGTAACAGACGTTCTTTTTCTTTTGGTTGTAACTGAAGCTCTTCGCATCATATCCGTGCATGTGTCCGTCTCGTCCGTTACATTCGTGTTACAACTCGGACCGCCATATTTTTGGTCCATATCGGTTTGAATTTGTATCATGTCGTACAGCAGTTTTCGCGCGTTTTCCGAGGCTTTTCGACCACGTGTTCGGCTAGGTCCACATCCCATTATAAATAATTCCACCAACAGAGGACCTTTAATTATCGGACTGGGCTAAAAAAAAATCAAAAAAAAAAAAAAAATCAAATGAAACACAAACAATAGAAGACAGAATTATCAATTTTTTTCAAATTCTTGGAAGGGGAGATAATCCTTTTATGACCAGACGGTTGCAGACCACCATTAATTTCCCCATTGACATCAATGTTAAATTTGCCTCTTTGCCCGGCCCCATCTTTTCCCACCATTAACTTTCCCATTGACATCAATTTTAAATTTGCCTCTTTGCCCGGCTCCATCTTTTCCCCAAATTTTCGTTGGGCTGAATGCTTTTCACTACAGACAGAGAAACAAATGATAATTTTAAATGAGGTTGACCAACCAAATTTTGAGATACACAAACTTGACGTAGCATACTAAAAGCATGTAACTATACTCCGTACATACCATTGTAACCAACATGTTACGAGCGTAATTATGTTCTCCTTCCGCCTTTAAATCTTGAATATTTACCAAGACCTGACAAAAAGTGTTAACTGAACCCCCCTTCGTCTAGTCTAGACCCAAAAATCAACAGAAATGCCTATGTTAAAGGGGAGAAAAGGGTCTGGTAGAGAATTACTATAAATAGACGAACTAGAACTTGTGGGACCAAGGAGGCGAAATTTAATGGTGGTCTGTCTCCAGACGACTAATCTGATTAAAATACAGATCTATATTTCGTGTCGTTTTTTATACTTTCGATGACCTACACTACATGAAGATCTGACAAGTTGTACTCGTAGATCGTGTCAGGGGTCGTATGAGCGGCTTTTGACCTATGAAGTCAATGATTGATTAATCAATCAACGTTCCTAGTGGTTTACTCACAGTTCCGTGCATGGCACGCCAAGAAGTGGCCGTAACGGACCATTGCATTGGCTTGTTCCTCACTTCAACCAAAACGCCGGTAATATAACAATTCGTCCGGACCCTAGTGTAGTAAAGGCACATAAAACGAAATTTTGAACTATAAAAAACGAACCGAATAGGATCCGTGTTTTAAACAGATTGTTTTAATCAGTTTATGACGTCAAATTCTGAAATTCTTGTAGTTCCTAGGCATTTTTGGTATAGTAGGTAGCGGGGCAAATTCTACTCTGTCAACATCAAATCACCCTACTACTTCTGTATTTCTAAACCTTTAATGTTACGCAGCTAGGAACGATTACACATGTAACACAAACCACAAGGCGTTCATATCCCAAAACGCATCTAAGGTATATGACTTAATTTAAAAAATTCCTTCCGCAATTGGGGAGACACTGCACCCTCCCCCGTGCTTCGTATTCCTTACAAAATGCCCTGTTTAATTCCAGTGAGTAGGGCGTTGGCTCGCTAACCTGGAGGTCCCGTGTTCGATGCCTGCTTTGGCCGAGAAAGTTCATCGGGATTTCCGGCCTGGTTCCTCCCTTTCAGTAGTGTGGGACGGAGGGCCCGGCAAGGGACAACGTATAATGGCAGTTGGAATTCGATACAAAAAGTAGGACCTTAAACCTGGCGTATAGTCGCCCAGAAATGACGAAAAACACAGGTCCCATGTACACGTAAAGGACCCTTGGCAGTTGGAATTCGATATAAGAGTAGGGCGCAACGCCGCTGCCTGGCAGAAAAGTAGGGCGTTAAACCCCATTTCATTACATTGATACAGAAGTAATAAAAATACAGCCTTACCTTAGGGGTGAGTAGATATTGTGAATTTCTTTAAATAATTGTTACGACCTCAAATACTATTTTCACGACCACTATGAGAAGCGAACATGACAATCTGTACTTTCTGCTATATGGATATTAGCATCTATCATGTCGAATGAAACTAAGGCCTGTTTACACGGCACTGCAGCTAAAGCCGTACGTTATTGAAATATGAGTCGAGGCTATTTCCCGGTGAATTAGGCTTGACAACAGTTTCTGCTAGAGGCCGCCATCTTGCAGTTTCTGTTCCCATGAATTTAGCCTGTAGTTTCTCAGAGGTAGCAAACTACACATATTTGCATTAGCTTCGCTTCTTTTAGAAATCGTCTTAACTACTGAGATGGCAAGAAGCAAATACACAACGTGAAGGGGAAACCAAGGAAATTACTAGACGATCACAAGGCTATTAAGGTATGAAGCAAGGAATGAGGCCTGGGTCATACGTAAGATGTGGCAACCGGTTTTAGTGCGTGGCCCGCTTTCCACGTCTGACAAAAGACCCATGGGGCTACAGTATGTCCGTCTTTATTAGCCAGTTGGACGTTAAACCCCATTTCATTTCAGTTTATTTCACACTAAGCCACACAGCTCCCAAAATGACTAACATACCGACCAACGGTTTAAACAGCCTTAAGCCCTATAATTAATGTGTATCATCTTACAAGTGATAGGTTTACTTGTATTACATGGGTTAATATTTCTGACATCCTACAGTTCAAATTCTTAATCCTGTCTTAATTAGTGTCATTCAGAATTTTCTCAGATAAGCCATTAACCATGCTGTCATTTCCAACCTTGATAAACATGATAGGATTATGTACATTGATCCTGGTGTTGGTCAAGAAAGTTCCCCGGGATTTTGCAGTGTGGTTTGCCCTTTGGACAACTTTAAAGTTGCTTAACTCGTGGGCTAGAATAGCAGAGAGAAAAAAACACATTTGCAGATGTAAAATTTTCTCGGGAAGGGCGAGGCCCCCATACACCGCAAAAACCGACTTCTCCGGCCGCGGCTCCGTGGACTTGGCGATCAGTTGGTTGTTTCGAAATCAGTTTATTTTGGACCACGGACTGGAAAAGCAGCACCAAAAAGCGTTCATGTGTCCGTCACATTTTTTCAAAATTTCTTGGGGAGGTCCCTACACGGTAAGCCTACGGCGCTCGCTGAAGACCGGCTCGACAGTCTGTAAACGTGAATTTTTTAGAGGCATTTCAGTTCTGTCCCCCTGACATTTATCGAGTCCGTGCGCCTATGAGCAGGAAATGAAATGAAAAGAAATGGTGTACAGCGTCCTACTGTTGTGCTCCCGCCTATGTGCACGAGTCAGGGATATGATTACTTTTTGTAGACCAGCTAGTGACACTTCTTTGAGTTGAGGTCTAAATCTTAAGACCATAAGGACGTTGTGTGTCTTGTGAATGGCATCCGCTTTTTTTTTTACAAAGGGCACAATTCATCTAAATACTTAGAAGAGATAAGTGAAATGAAATAGGTTTCAACATCCTACTCCCCGGTTTCACAAAGCATTCTTAGACTTAAAGATACATTATGGGAGATAAGATAAAGAGATGGCAGTTCTCGCTATAATAGTTAAAAACTAGATAGTGTAAAGGTAATTTGCTGAAAATGTCAGTCAAATTGATCCACTATGAGCCGAGAAAGAAGCGGGTGAAATTTTTGCATAGTCTCGGTCATCATTACTAAAATCATTAATATAAACAGCATAGTCTCGATAATCCATTTTTTATTTAATTATCAATGGCCGTTAGCGGCATATAGGAATCTAATCCAGCCAACATCGAAGGCTAGACTTGACATCGAGAGTTTATTATGGTCTGGATAAGTTAATTAATGTATAATGTATTTCTTAAAATTTCGGTTGTAACTTAGTTTAAGTTTTCGTGAATAAGGGCCCAGAAACATAACAATTTGCACATAGCTTCTTATTAATGTTTTATAAGGGGTTATATTTGAGTTACAATAAGGCGAACAATTTTGAGTAAATTCTGAACTTAAACATATAGTATGCAAAAGCTAAATCTGCCTATTGCAGGTCTTTCTTTAGGCCTGAAATGTTATCTAAATTATTATTAATTAGGCATTAATTAACTTATCCAGACCATAATCAACTCTCGATGTCAAAGCTAGCCTGCGATATTTACTGGATTAGGATCCCATTTCCTGCTTAACTTTCATTCATGTTTTATCGTACCAACTTTAGTAATGATGATCGAGGCTAGGCCGAAAATTCAATCGCTAAAATCTCGGTTCAGAGTGGATCAATTTGACTGAAATTTTCAGCAAATTCCCTTTACATTATCTAGTTTTTAACTATTATGTGAGAACTGTTAGTTCTTTATCTAATCTCCCATAATGTATATTTCTCAGGGGAGGGTTGGATGGCCGAATAGTTAGCATGTGCAAGCTTTATCATAAGGTCTGTCATTGAGTCAACTGACGTGGTTTCGATTCCCCGGTTGTACGTGACAAGGAGTAGGGTCGCGTGTCCAACCTCGTGGGTTTTCTCTGGGTCCTTCGGTTACCTCCCACTGCTAAAGACTCCTATACGCGCAATGGAATTATTGAAATAAAATTAAACTATGTGTAAGTCCCGAAATCACCTAGTGTATGTCGAGTGGACGTTAAACCCCATCTCTCTCTCTCTCTCTCTCTCTGTTTCTCGGGGTCTTGAATAGGAGCCCCCCCCCCCCACCCAAAAAAAAAGATGGACTTAAGTCAAGAAATTGCGTTTAGGCGCGATATACTCTGGGAAATTAAAGAAAAAATTACTCTTGCTTAATCGGATTAAAGATTCAAAACAACATGTGCTACTTCCCAAACGCACACCGGTGCGTATTAATATTTCTAACTTACGAACATTCAAATATTTTCTTACATTTAAGTTTATTTATATTATTTCTATATAAATGTTTCTTGTAATTCCTACAGTTTAAAGAGAACATGTCATAATCAAAACATACATGTAGAACTTATCATATATTTGGGACTTTATTTTTTGGTTGTGATGCGGTCATTGATGAAAGGAGTTGAGTGTTCGTCGTATTCGCATTCTCCTTTGAAAACGCACGTGCATTCATACATTCAGCGCGTGTTGTGAACGCGAGTGGATATATTGGTGTCGTGTTGTTTTGGGGACTTAACCTGACTTACCGACAGATTCAAGGTAGGAGTCTTTATTTATACAGTGGGCAATAAAAGTACTCCTAAATATAGCGACCACAACGGGGTTGTCTCTGGTAGAGACGTGGATACCGGCAGAAACGGCGTCGCCAATTTCAAAAGTAAATATACTCTTCAAAAAAGTAGGGGATATTCAGAAACAATACAAACCTGTGGAAATGCACTGCCGATTTTATAAGAGGTAACCAGTGTATGTTTATAATGGGCCAATTGCCTACACATGAACATAAACAGTTCATATTGGCATTTCAATATCCCCTACTTTTTTTGAAGGGTATATAAATAAATTATAGTAAAATATAATTATTTAATGTCTTCAGTAATAATTAATTATTACTAACCACGTCCACAGATTTATTTTTTTCTAACAAACTTCAACATTTCTCAAATACAACCACCCGAATACGTCCAACCATTGCGTGGAAGTATTATTCAAAAATATGGCCGTATCCGGAACCCAAATTGATAGAATTTGTAAATTATTCAACAATTAGCATGATTAAAAACTAATTTATGACAAATTCTGATTTGCTTTAAAGAGACATTAGATAAAGATAAAGAGCTGAGTTCTCGCTATAAAAGTTAAAAAAATAGATAATGAAAACAAAATATGCTGAAATGTTGAGTCTTTTTGTTTCACTCTGAATATTAGCCATTCAATTTTAGGTTAGTCTCGCTCGTCAAAACTAACGTTTGTATTATCGTAAAGTCTTGATTATCCAGTTTTACGTTAAATTATCCATCACAAAATGTATTCAAATCCAGTAAATATCGCAGGCTAACCATGACATCGAGAGTTGATTATGGTATTTTCATGTTAATAAATGTCTAATAATTTAGATAACATTCCGGGCCCAAGAAAGAACTGTGGTAGGCAGATTTTACTCTTGCATGCATGTTTAACTTGTCATTATCATTTTTTTATAAAAAAAACCCCGATGAGCAAGCGAATTATTGAAATAAATTGTACCATGTTAGTCAGTCCCAAAATGACCTTTCCTGTGTTAACTGGGCGTAAAACCCAATTTCCTTCCTTGGTGTAACTATACATGAAGATATTTATTTATTTCAGAATGAATTGGTTTGTCATCTATCTTAGTCTTCTCACGGTAAGCATATTTGTTCGTGACAAGAAGTAGGTCGCCTGTCCAACCTCGTGGGTTTTCTCTGGGTCCTCTCGGGTCCCCCCCCCCTACTGGTAAAGACCCATACGCGTAAGCGAATTATTGAAATAACATTGTTCACCGTATGTTAGTCCCGAAATGACCTAGCTTGTCGAATGGACGCTACACCCCATCTCTCGTCTAACACCCCCCCACCCCACACGCGCGCTGCTAAAGAGACTTACGCGTCATAGGACATTTCATTTTCCCGGCTGATGAATACATGTAATAGAACGTTAAACCCGATTGAATTTAATATTGAAACGCATCCATTGTACCAGAAAATGTCCACGTACATGTACTAAAGGGTTTAGGACCGCTTTATTAATAAAATGGCATATTCTGAAATCGCTGTCGTTGTCGTTTCTATTTTTAATAACCGTACAATTATTGTTTCAGTGTTGTGTTGTCGGCTTAGAGATTCCTAAAGGCTACGTGTTAGACAGTAAGTAATATTTATAGTAACCACCATCACCATGGTTACCTAATCACATCTCGACAAAATAAAGCACATGGTCTCGTACCTGATCAATTTCTGACTCTGTATATGGCGTCCACTCGTCAAGTTATGTGACGTAATACTCGAATTCTATTTCTTTTATTCGAGCATTAACTGTTTATCCGTCGTTGCACGGTTGAAACTCTGAACCGGAAGTATAACTCGGGGTATAGTAACGTCACTGGTCCAACCTCACTCGAACTACGCTGGTTATTCTGCCCTGAGCATCATTTATATTACCACCAACATAGATAAACGATGGTTACAAATAGATACTGTACTCGGACTAATTTGACCTTGAAATTCATCCGAATACAATCTGATTAAAACACAGATCCTATTTCGTTTCGTTTTTTTTATAGTTCCAATATTTCGTTTTACTTGTCTACTACACTAGGATCTGGAAGAGTTATTATTATTACCGGCGGTTTGGTTTAAGTGAGGGATAAGCCAATGAAACGGTCTGTTACGGCTACTTCTTGGCGTGCTATGTACAGAACTGTGGGTAAAACACTAGAAACGTCAACGCTGATTAACCAATGTCTGACGTCAAGTCAAAAGCCGCTCGTACGACCTCTGACGCGACCTATCACTACAACCGGTCAGATCTTCATGTAGTGTAGGCCATCGAAAGTATACAAAACGAAACGAAATTTAGATCTGTATTTTAATCAGATTGATCCGAATAGGAACAGTCGGAGATTAATATTTTGATGTTCTATTGTTTTTAGTAAAGCCGACATGTTCGAATACAACTGGTGGTGTGACCACGATTCAAGTTTTAACTGATCTCGAGCTGTTTGTGGAAGCTGAATGTGCTAATAAATATGTGGCACAGTTTTCAACGATAAACTACGTCGACTGGTCTCTAGAAGCTCGTTACACTGGAGATAATACAAAGGGGTGTATTTTTGATGTAAGTAAAGTCTAGATCACATGCTGCTGTTGATCACAAATATTTAGTGTCCAATACATTCTGCATGATATTGGACAGAAACGGATAAAACCATAAATATTCGATCACACTGATCAGCAGTGAATTTTCGCTAGGCCGCTACAATCACTGATAAGGATGACATCGATGCGACCTAATGAGCCAGAAATATTAACTTTTTTCCTGCGACAAATTAAATTCTAAAACATTTTTTTTATGTATTGGAAAAATAAAGGTATTTGTAGGTAAAAATTATTTCCTATTTAGTGTAAATGCGTATTAAAATGACTAAAAGGCAGCATTCTACCCGAAGCAGTAACGTCTTATGTAAACAATTCACGCGTCCATTCAGCCAATGATTGACGCCTCGTGCTGTGACGGCACGTGTTAAGGCAGTCATATTTGACAGATATTACTAGACTCGTAATTCTCTGTGAAACAGAGTGGTATTCGATCTCTGCGTTTGCCGATAAAGTTTGTCGGATTTTCCTGCGTCGTCCTCTCTTGTCAGTGGTGTAGGACGGAGGGACTGGCAAGGAATAACGTATAGTCGTTCAGATGAGACAAAAAACGAGGTTCCGTGAACACATTAGCATGTACATAAAATAACCCTTGAGAGGTGGAATTCGGATTAAGAGTAGACGTAGCGACGCTGTCAAAATGTCACTCATGACACTGTTTGACCTTAGCCTAGTTGAAACGGGACGATATGCACCATTTCATATCATTTACTCACAAGCGTTGTTTCGATTCCCCACTTCTACGTGAAAAGGAGTAGGGTGCCTTTCCATAAGGTTGAATAAACGTAATTGAATAAAATTATCACAAATGATTAAAGATATAATATGCAAGAGCTAAATCTGTCTATTGCAGGTCTTTCTTTAGGCCTGAAATGTTATTTTAATTATTAAACATTTATTAAATTATCCAGACAATCAAATCTCATGTCATCGCTAGTCTGCGATATTTAATGGATTAGAATCGGGTCTGCTGCTCAACGACCATTGATGATTTGATAACTTTAGTAATGATGATCGAGGTTAGGTCTAAAATTCAATCGCTAAATTCTCGGTTCAGTCGATCAATTTTGAGCTGAAATTTTCAGCAAATTCCCATTACATTATCTAGTGAACTATTATAGTGAGAACTGTCAGCTCTTTATCTAATCTCCAATAATGCATCTTTTAATAAAACACTTTTAAACATTTGCCTTGAAGAAAAAAATTATCAAGGTACTCTATTCCACAGTGTCGGGGCAACGCAACAACCTTTTAAAGCTCTCACCGAAACTGACGAGATTGGCATTGTATTAATGTTTTTTTGTTATTAACAGAAAAAACAACTTTCGAACACCTACCTATTACGTATATCAGTATCGTGGGCTGAACCAGGTAATGTTATGTTAACACATGAAGTTGTACAGATCACGTGCACATTGGATACCCATGGTATATCCCAGTCAAAGGTAGACACCTTAAAAGAGGGGTAAGTTATGGGCTACACATTCATCCTGCATTTGGCGTATTTTTGTTAGGGTCGGGAGGAAATCTTTGAACACGGGGTGGGCGGGGGCTTCGGTGGCTAAGTAAGACGCTGTCGTGCTAGTCTGGAGGTCGCGGCTTCGATCTAGAGAAAGTTATCGGGATTTTCCGGCGTTTACCCCCTTGTCATAGATGTAGGAAATGAAATGAAATGAAATGGGGTTTAACGTCCTACTGTTCTGCTCCTATACTGGGCTAATGAAGACGGGCATACGCCATAGTGTGCTATGAGGGAAATTTTGCCCGGGCAGCGGCACTATCGTTAACTCTTATCTTGAATTCCAACTGCCAAGGGATCTTTTACGTGCATTCCAATGTATACACGGGACCTCGGTTTTTCGTCTCATCCGAAGGACTAGACAGCTGTCCTTGTCAGGCCCTCCGTTCTGCACCACTGACAAGGGAGAACCACGTAGGAAAATCCAGATGAACTTTCTCGGCCAATGCAGGGATCGAACACCCGACCTCCAGGCTAGCGAGCCAGCGTCTTAACCACCCAGCCACCGCGGCTCCCCCATAGATGTAGGACAGAAGGCCTGACAAGGACAGCTGTCTAGTCGTTCGGATGGTACTAGAAACCTCCAGGCTAGCGAGCCAGCGTCTTAACCACCCAGCCACCGCGGCTCCCCCATAGATGTAGGACAGAAGGCCTGACAAGGACAGCTGTCTAGTCGTTCGGATGGTACTAGAAACCTAGGCCCCGTTTACACATTAGCGTGCACGTAAATGATCCCTTGGCAGTTGGATACAATTTTCTGCTTCAGGACATAGAAATTGTGAGGGATGGATAGTGACAGGTATATGCCCATTTTCACTGTTGTTGCAACGGCCCCTGTGTCATTTTCAGCCATCGGTATTTTGCAATCTTTTTCATTTGGGACCGACGGTCATTCATTGTTTTAATATGCCAGTTCTGGTGATAGCGAACCACGTATATGGAGGACATTAGGAACCATGGTGACCCAGTCAGGCAATTGCTCACTTACCACGTGTTCGAGTAAAGTGTTGGCAGAGTTCCAGAGTTTTGCCCCCTTTTCCGATAGACAATGTAGTTTTTTTAAGCATTGCGGTCATCGATCACTATCGATATCCATAATCCACAGCCTTCCGTTCCCGATTTATCACGCTTTTGCCGAAAACCACGTGAACGTGAGTTCATATAGCTATACATCTTTATATTAAGATTGTTGGGTGCAACAGAATTACAGTCACACATGGGCGGCCGAGCATCATCCTCCTTCACGCTACAACTCACTGATATTGACGGTAAACAGCTACCTAAATCTATTGCTTTGGGCCGCAAAGTTCAACTACACGCCAAAATGTTAGGTAAGTTCAATAGAAATATGCAGCAAATTACAGTACTGTGAAATGCTGTGTAGATATTTGAAAAAAGTAGTTAAAATACTCCGATATTAGAAAATGTTAGCTAAAATAATCATCGATATTAGAAAATATTAGTTATATTAGAAAATAGTAGTTATGTTAGAAAAATAGTAGTTAAAATACTCAACAATATTAGAAAATAGTAGTTAAAATACTCAACGATATCAGAAAATAGTTAAAATACTAATCGATATTAGAAAATAGTAGTTAAAATATTAATCGATATTAGAAAATAGTAGTTAAAATACTAATCGATATTAGAAAATAGTAGTTAAAATACTGATCGATATAAGAAACTAGTAGTTAAAATACTGATCGATATAAGAAAATAGTTAAAATACTCAACGATATTAGAAAATAGTAGTTTAATATTAATGGATATTAGAAAATAGTAGTTAAAATACTAATCGATATTAGAAAATAGTAGTTAAAATACTAATCGATATTAGAAAATAGTAGTTAAAATACTGATCGATATAAGAAAATAGTTAAAATACTCAATGATATTAGAAAATAGTAGTTAAATATTAATGGATATTAGAAAATAGTGGTTAAAATACTGATCGATATTAGAAAATAGAAGTTAAAATACTGATCGATATAAGAAAATAGTAGTTAAGTACTGATTGATATTAGAAAATACTCATCGATATTAGACTATATTATTTAAAATGCCTTGAAAATATTAGTTGAAATAATGACATTAGAAAATATTAAAAGATACATTATGGGAGATTAGATAACGAGTTGGCAGTTCTCACTATAAATATTAAAAACTAGATAATGCAAAGGCAATTTGCTGAAAATTTCGTTCAAATTGATCCACTATGAACAGAGAATTAAGCGATTGAAATTTCCGCCTAGCCTCGATCATTACTAAAGTCAGTACGATAAACAGCATATTCTCGATTATCCATTAAATCGTTAAGAAAAGTTATGCAGTAAATCGGCGCATAATCCACTAAGATGCCATCAAGAGTTGATTATGGTCTGGATAGGTTAATGTCTAATTTCAGGCCTGACCTGCAATGGACAGATTTAGCTATTGCATAATGTATGTTTAAAATACCTTGAAAATATTAGTTTATTCGGCAAGTTGAAATACAAGGAAGTACATACTGGAACATATTATTTAAAATATTATCGGCGATAGTATACTGGGTAATATAAGTAAATATAGCAAACATTGAAAACTAGTTTTTAAAATACAAGTCAGTATTAGAAATTAGAAAATAGTTTTTAAAATACAAGACAGTATTAGAAAATAGTTTTTTTAAAATACAAGACAGTATTAGACAAGTGGTTAAATATCAGAAGAAAATACTATGCAATGTTAGGCAAGTTAAAATAACACATTCTAAAGATAAAAAAATGATTGTTTAAAATAGTCTATTACAATATAAGCTACCAGATGTTAAAGCTGCACTATGTTGAAGCTAAATCTGCCGGTTGCAAAGCTTTCTTTTGGACTCAAATAGTATGTAAATTTTTAGACATTTCTTTACATGCCTTGCCCATAATAAAACTTTCCAGAACATCGGATTGTCATTTTGAACGGAGAGCCTGAAAAGGACAGCTGTCTAGTCCTTCGGATGAGACGAAAAACCGAGGTCCCGTGTATACATTGGAATGCGCGTAAAAAATCCTTTGACAGTTGGAATTCGATATAAGAGTAGGCGATAGTGCCGCTGCCCGGGCAAAATTTCCCTAATACCACACTGTATGGCGTTTGCCCGTCTTCATTAGCCCAGTATAGGAGCAGAACAGTAAGACGTTAAACCCCATTTCATTTTGAACGGATTGAAATACGATCATTTGATATTTAATTTAAAAAAAAGGATACTCAAGACTTATCAAACATTTCAAATAAGGTAATTTGACCAAAATTTTCAACATTAATCTTTTTCATTAGCTATTTTTAAAACAATTATAGCGAGAATTGTCAGGTCTTTATCCAAATCTTACATACATCTTTAATGTAAAATGTCTGTTCTACACTTTCAGTATCCGCAGCACCAGGTGCGAAGGACGAAAAAGGACTCCGTGCAGTTAACTGTGCAGCGACTGCTGGTAACCATACCTACAAGATTCTTCGTGGAGGGTAAGTCATTAGTTAGTATTATACTGCGCATGCGTTCTGGGCGAATCAATGGTTAACGTGTACGCGTTGGATCATAAAGTTTGGTATTTAGTCACTGGCGTGGTTTCGATTCCCCCGCTTGTACGTGACAAGGTGTAGGGTGGCCTGTCCAGCCTCGTGGGTTTTTCACGGTTTGCTTCGGTTTACTCGCACAACTAAAGACCCCTACGCTTAAGCGAGTTATTGGGAAACAAAAAACATCATGTTAGCCCCGATATGACCTAGTTTGTCAGTGAACGTTTAACACCATTTCTCTCTCGTTCTGGAGATGGGTTATAAGGAAATGGCGCCTAGTCCTTCGTAAGGTATGGAAAGGGATATCCACATTGTAGCTAGTAAAAGAACACTTTACAGTCGAATTCGATAAAAAGCTACCTGGGCTAAATTTCCCTCATAGCAATTCCGTTAGGCATTGACAGTCAGGTTATTCGACGAACAGAAATCGGTAAATAAATAAATCATGTGGCTCAGTAAGACAGTAACATCTTGGCTTGGCTTCCGGTGTTGGCCGAGACAGTTCCTAGGGTTTTCCCGGGTTGCCCCCCCCCCACCTCGTCATAGGTGCAGGATGGAGGGCCCGATGCGAAGCGGCTGTCTAATCGTTCGGATGGTACACAAAATCGAGTTCCTTTTGTACACGTAAAAGATCCCCTGAGTTGAAAATCAAAATGGGCCTTGAAACCGCTGTAATGGCAAACTGTTCTTGATAACACACTTCATAGGATATGTCGGTCTTCATTATCCCAGTCGGTGTGCAGAAAGGTAGGTTGCTAAACCCCATTTAATTTACCTCTGAAACTCAGTTTAATTTCTATGGTTATTGTAGTTGCGGTGATGGCCTTATTCTACCTAGTAACAAGGGATTTAATACAATAGGTACTACAACTACTAGCCCTGTGTTTTCAGCCTTCCGATTGGCTAAACTTTCAGCAGTGTCATTTCGTTGTAACTTTACTACATGTAAATCAAACTGTGACGGTGTAAGTATAAACTTTTTATTCTGAGGGATGGCCCAGGTTCGACCACCGTGTTATCTTGATATTTGTGGGATGGGGCGATTATTTGGGGTATCGGTTTCGATCCCGGTGTTATGTTTGGATAGCTGAGTGATGGGGCTATGATTTAGGGGATGGACCGCGTTCGACCCTGGTGTTATATCTAAATGTGGGATGGGCAAGTGAGTAAGTATAGGGTTCGATCCCGGTGGTATATCTGGATAGCTGATGGATTGGGCGGTGATTTGGCTGATGGCCCGTGTTCGATCCAGGTGTTAAATTTGGATAGTTGTGGGATAGGCAATGAATGAGGTGCTGGCTTGTTTTAGTAATAGCTCTGGGGCCTGTTTCACGAAATTTTAACTAAGATAAAATCCAAATTTTAGTAATTTGATTGGATAATATTAGATTGATTTCAGTGCTTAGCCAATCAAAATTGAAGTATCTACTAAATTTTTATTTTATCTTTAGTTAAAATTTCGTGAAACGGGGCCCTGTTTTAATCCGTGTGATGATCGAGAAAGTTCCTCGTTATTTTTCCAGGGCGGCGGGTCATGCAATGTGGTGGGTCTTGCAAGGAACGGGGATTAGTCGATCGGGTGGGACGAAAAAAGACGTCCCTTGAATACATTTATATAAGCCAAAATGTGAACGCGATGGAGGCAGTTTTCAACTGTTTTTCAGATTTGGTGGGAAACATTGGGGTCATGATGGGACGAACCCTATTAAACCGAAGGCTCAGTGCGGTGTGGTGGGGGGGGGGCGGGGTCCATCAAATGGGCACAAAACCAGACCCAACTTTTCTAGAGTAAAATTTTGCGTAGAATACGATTCCGAGTGGTAATCTGTCCGCCGTTGAGGCGTTTTCGGAATATTCGGGGTCAAATGGGGTCATTTTCACGGAAAGTGAATGCGCAGCCATTCTTATATCATGAAAACATGCTGAAAATGAGCGAGAGTAATCACGCTTTCAATAAAAATGTAAACTTGCTAAATTCACCTTTGTTCAAGGTCAAAAGGTCAAGTTTTCCGTTTTTGCACTAGGAAGATTTAAAGCAATACAATGTCAGCGTAAAATATAAAAACTAAAGCGAAACATGTACTAATTAATAATAGGAACATTTAAAACTTACCTTAAGGATGTCTTAGCACCGTACAGTTACTTTGAAACGTCAAAAAAGATCTTGCGTAACAGAAGCAACACAACTTCCAAACCGGTTTCAAAAATATCTCGAAAACGCCCCAACGGCGGACTGATAACCACTCGGCATCCTATTCTATCTACGCAGGGTTAGGGTTGTGCCCATATGATGGACCCCCCCCCCGCCACACACACTGAGCCTCCGCGACTTTCCCTTCTGGAGTTGTTCCCCTTTTAACGCAAACTGTGTGACCGAGGCAACAGTTTGGTTATTTATTTTTCAAGCTTGTAAATCATAGAAATTTTAAATGGACATAACTTTAAGATTAACTATGGCGTTTTGTCCCACTAAAAGACAAAAATAATTGTATTCTAGGACTCCTGTGAAATAGAAAAAAGACGAAGAAGAGCTTTGATCGACCAAGGTAAGTTTGTCCTTTGTGGGTGTTGCAGGTCCGAGTGAAGCTTCTAGTCTTTTTGTACACGTAAAAGAACCCTGCATAGTTGGACTTCGATGAAATTAGGCGGGAAACCATAATCCAAAATTTCCAGCATAGCACAGTGCAAAAAAACAGGACGCTAAACCCAATTTCATTGCTTTACACTTTAGCTCAGGGTGTGATGCATATCATCCCCGGTATCACCAGTGGCATCATTCCGCTCTGCTTCAATAACACCTTGGTCCATTGATGGGGTTTTCGCGAATTCAAATTATCTGCCCTTGATTTCATAGAACTTTCCCTTTATCTTTCAGATTCCAAGCCGGAAGATCAGTTACGTTCTCAGTTGCATTTAATATGTTCGTTAGATATAAACTTTTTGTTTATTTTTCAGATTCACAACCGGAAGATTTGGTCCTGTTCCCAGTTGAATTGCATGTTCACGTGAGGTCTGTTGGCAGTGCTGACGCTGTTGAAATAGATCCATGTAAAATACCCGGATTATCAATGGAAGGCTGTAAACAAAACGAAAAACAACCAATCAAAAAGGATTTTCCAATTGGAGTGACGTCATTAATGATAACCATTATGGTACTCTTTCCCGTCATGCTTATTGTCGGGTTGGCGGCCTTTTTCTGTTGTACTAAGAACAAGAACTCTTACGGGATAACAGACGACGCTAAATCTAACCCAACATAAATGTACTAAAATTAAATTATTAGCATACAATTGTAGTTTCGTTTTTTATGTGTTAAGAAAAGGACTTAACACCCATTAACACATTCTACGGTAGATAACGCTTGTACTGAGCAATATACCCTTGATTTTATTTGATACTAAACAGCAAAAAAAAAAAGTCAGTACGATTTCAAATTCAGTGAGGCACTTTAATCAAAATCATTCTAGAAAACGACTTACCAAATGGATTAAAGCGATTTTTTTTTAACAGTATGTTCACACATTAGTGATTACTTCATCACAATTCCATGACATTACGAGAAGGTTTAGAGTCTATACATCAGTATCTGGTGTCCACCGCGAGTGTCAATAACAGCACAGCGGCTGTACATGAGGTGGACCAGACGATTGAATGCCATTGGCACCTGGCGAAATCCATCGGCTGTTTGGTCTCTGTACGACGTTAAGTCTCCTCTGAATTTCATCCCAAATATGTTTAATCGCGTGTAAGTCCAGACTAAGGGCTGGCCAGTGCATATCATTGACACCGTTCTGCTGTAGAAAGTCCAGAGTAACTGTCTGCGTGGGCACGGGCGTTGTCATGCTGAAAAACGTTTCGATAACATGCGAAATGTGGTATGACGTGGGGTCTGAGAGTTTGATCGATATAGCGCACTGCTGTGATGCCGCCTCCTCTCCCTGGACCAAGATTTTGGAACACCGCAGGACCCACTCTCTGGTTCGGCCGATTCCACCCCAAACCATTAGGCTTGGACCTCCCCATGAGTCTTGTTCCATGACACATTGGTCAGAATAACGCTGGCCACGTCGACGCCATATTCTGGTCCTGCAATCTGCAGTTGATCCGCAATACCGACTCTCATCTGTGAACATAACAGTTCTCCATTGTCTGTGTCGCCAGTTCACGTCGATGGTGAGGATTGGTCTACGGCAATGGATGTTCTCTCGGATGAGACGTCGGCGCACTGTATCGGTACTGATGGATCTTCCGTGTTTCCACTGTCTGACGAGCTGTCTCGGATGTCTGTGGGAAGAGATTCTGCACGTGCTATCGCACAACATGCATGGTGGTCTTGTCGCCTTGTGGTAACCCTTGGTCTACCAGATCGGGGCGATCATCCGTGGTGTTGGTGGCCCGAAAGCGTCGCTGAAGCCTGTAGATGGTCCGAACATTGACCTGGAAGTGATTGGCAACGGCTTGGGCAGTGTGGCCAGCGTCGAGTCTTACAAGCGCCTGGTTCCTCTGAGCTGTTGTGAGTCGTGGCATGCTGCTGACGTTGTAGTGTGAACGATTCAACCAGGTATGGGGGTGCATTTTATACGGCTGGCCCTGGTGAACAACACGTGCAGCAGGAGTAACATGAAAATCGTGAAGAACACATTACCATCTCAGAAGTCCGGTTACGTTTTTGAGAACATTTCCTGGGTTCGGTTCTGTTTGGGAAGGGGCCTTATTGCTCAGGTAAAGTTGGGGATGTGGTCACAAATATACAATAAAAACATTTGGCAAGTTTTATGCAATGCATCTATTCAGAGTAACATACTAACCTGACGTTTCTTTTGCTGCTTAGTATATTTGTGCGTGTCAGAAAAGGTTGGGTGATAAATAAAATCTGCTACTCTTCTTTTTTTGATATCATAAAACACAACCGCTAGTCGATAAAGTAAAAAAAAATCTTGGACAAAGCCTCGTCCTTATTTGCACGAACGTAATTGTTAAAGCTGCTGTAATAACCAAAAAGCTAAATATTACTGTTATTCAGAATCGTCAAGGTTTAACGGCTGTGATAGGTGTTAGAGATTTCACGTTCGATGGCTATTTATAGACTTTGATGCTGAGCGTTATTGCACTGCGTGATTAGCCAGAAATCACTTTGAGACAAGTCACTGAAGCGTGCACATTCCCCGGGTCGATTTCAACTTTCTGTAGGGAAAATTTTCGCTGCACGGGGCACCTTACCAATAGATCTGCACCCCGTGCTGTTACCATAGGTGTTCCACAAGTAGGGTGTCCCACCATAAATATCTCGACAATTACACCACAATATCTATATATACACAAGCCTTAAATCAGCTTCAAACATTTATAGTCACTAAATAAACGGTCATGCTGTACTTAATAAACTATGACCATTTAACCATCTATAAATAATACACTGAAAGATGGTTACGATTGTTGAACATAACATCCGGGCACTTGAGTAAAAAATAGGTTACGTGCCCTGGTTTTGAAAGTAGTGTCGCTTAACCCGTCTACCGACCATTCTACGTTTGATTAACGGGCCGGGATAATCAGACTACTTTTTTACGAAACATAACAGAAAGCTGGAACAAAAAAGTGAATTTAGAAACAAGCACGTTGGGCAACTCAACAATTGTTTTAAGAACCTTGTAAAAGTAAAATGAAACTACTGCTAGTATCATGTTCTTGCCCAACGCAAGTATTTCAGAGATATTTGTACTAAACCAAAATATGCCGCTCCTGATGGTACAGTTAATGATAAAGCAATTTAAAAAAATAAAACGAACGTAATGTCTAAAGCTGCTGTAATAACCAATAAGCTAAATATTACTGCTATTCAGAATCGTCAACAATAGATTTTTTACGGCTATAATAGTTGATAGATGTGTAGGGAATTTCACGTGCGATGACTATTTATAGACTTTGATGCTGAGCGTTATTGCACTGCGTGATTAGCCAGAAATCACTTCGAGACAAGTCACTGAAGCGTGCACATTCCCCGGGTCGATTTCAACTTTCTGTAGGGAAAATTTTCGCTGCACGGGGCACCTTACCAATAGATCTGCACCCCGTGCTGTTACCATAGGTGTTCCACAAGTAGAGTGTCCCACCATAAATATCTCGACAATTACACCACAATATCTATATATACACAAGCCTTAAATCAGCTTCAAACATTTATAGTCACTAAATAAACGGTCATGCTGTACTTAATAAACTATGACCATTTAACCATCTATAAATAATACACTGAAAGATGGTTACGATTGTTGAACATAACATCCGGGCACTTGAGTAAAAAATAGGTTACGTGCCCTGGTTTTGAAAGTAGTGTCGCTTAACCCGTCTACCGACCATTCTACGTTTGATTAACGGGCCGGGATAATCAGACTACTTTTTTACGAAACATAACAGAAAGCTGGAACAAAAAAGTGAATTTAGAAACAAACACGTTGGGCAACTCAACAATTGTTTTAAGAACCTTGTAAAAGTAAAATGAAACTACTGCTAGTATCATGTTCTTGCCCAACGCAAGTATTTCAGAGATATTTGTACTAAACCAAAATATGCCGCTCCTGATGGTACAGTTAATGATAAAGCAATTTAAAAAAATAAAACGAACGTAATGTCTAAAGCTGCTGTAATAACCAATAAGCTAAATATTACTGCTATTCAGAATCGTCAACAATAGATTTTTTACGGCTATAATAGTTGATAGATGTGTAGGGAATTTCACGTGCGATGACTATTTATAGACTTTGATGCTGAGCGTTATTGCACTGCGTGATTAGCCAGAAATCACTTCGAGACAAGTCACTGAAGCGTGCACGGTGGCTAAGTGGGTAAGGCGCTCGCTCGCTAGCCTGGAGGTCGGGTGTTCGATCCCTGCATTGGCCGAGAAAGTTCATTCAGATTTTCCGGCGTGGTTCCCCCTTGTCAGTGATGCAGGACGGAGGGCCTGACAAGGACAGCTGTCTAGTCATTCGGATGAGACGAAAAACCGAGGTCCCGTGTACACATTGGCGTGCGCGTAAAAGATCCCTTGACAGTTGGAATTCGATATAAGAGTAGGCCGTAGTGCCGCTGTCCGGGCAAAATTTCCCTCATAGCAAACTGTATGACGTATGCCCGTCTTCATTAGCCCAGTTTGGAGCAAAACAGTAGGACGTTAAACCCCATTTCATTTCTCATGACATGTGGTTCAAAGATTAAAGATGCATTATGTAATAGCTAAATCCGCCTGTAGAAGTTTTTATTTTTATTTATTAGCCATTTATTCACATGAAAAGCCCATAATTAAATCTCTGGGATACCCGATGGTCGTGATATAGATTGAATTAAAGCGCAATTACCATTTAATAACTCATCGTAAAAATGGATAATTGAGACTTTGCTTATTCCGTAGCAATGGTGCTTGGCATTCTAGATTAAACTGTCAAAACTTAACTTCGCTCCGAATCAATTGACTGAAATTTTTAATATATTAATTTTTCAATATCTATCTTGAAATATATATTATAGGCCAGTGAATGTATTTACCATTGAAGTCAGTAGGATGGGGGTTAATTACTAGTCTGAATCCATCGAGTTATTTCCCCTTGTTATACCTGGCGTAACATATGTCAACATCTATTATTAGGTCAGGCGTGAATACAATGTAGTTCAGCTTTCAGTCTCTGTGTAGTAAAGGTGGTTATAGTCGTGAAGACAAGAGAAAGGGTTTAAAAACAGTGATATGGATTAATACGTGAAACAAGTATGGATAGAGACGAAATATGGGCACTAGAGCTTCCATTTTGACCTGTCAGTCTCCCACTGTGGATACATGTGACAGATTACCAGGTAAATATAGATATATATGTATATATTATTGATATAATACGTATTAGTAGGTAATCTATTGTACTGTTAGTCCTAACAGTGACTGACATAATGGAATTGATATATTGTTACAGTATGTGGTGCGTGGTTACCAATTCACTTCAGGAATAAGATAGAGAAATATGGTTCAACGTCAACTCGACACCAAGGCGATACTCGATTGAACGTTCTGGAATTAAATTCTCTCAAGGACCCGGAGAAAACCCACGAACATGTGGGGTCGAAACCACAGCACGTGTCTCAATGACATGCCCACACATTGCTAGATCATTCGACCACTCCTCTACTCCACCCCTGCCCTCCTCTTTCAATCATTCCATTAAATCCCCTTTTCTATTTTCGGGTGGAGATGCAAAGGGGGGGGGGGTCAATAGTTAACTGAGTGTGTTGGATCATTGAGTCCAATGGCGTTGTTTCGATTCTCCACTTGTACGTAACAAGGACTAGGGTCGCCTGTCCAACCTCTTGGGTTTTCTCCGGTTTCTTTCTACTGCTACAGAACTCTACGAGCAAACGAATTATTGAAATAAAGGGTTGGACGGAGGCCTGACAATAAGACGAAGGCCTGTCAATGAACAGTGTCTAGTAGTTGGGGTGTGACGAAGATTCGAGGTCCGGTGTACTGCACGTTAGTGTGCACGTAAAAGAACCCTTGGTATTTGAAATTCGAGGACGTGTGGCGGAAACGTTGACCGGGCGAATATTGCTCTCATAGTACACTATGAGTGGGAGAATTTTGCCCTGACAGCGGTGCTTTCATATACTCTTCGTCAATTCTAACTACCAAGAAGTAGATTTTCTACCACATGTTGGATTATTCACAAATCATGTGATCTCTTGGTCCCCCCCTTGTCGGTGATGTTGGAAAGAGAGTCTGGCAAAGGGGAGAGAGAGAAATGATGTTTAACGTCCACTCGACACAAACTAGGTCATTTCGGGACTAACATAATAATGGTTCAATTTTATTTCCACAATTCGCTTGCGCGTAGGGGTCTTTAGCAGTGGGAGGAAACAGGAGGACCCGGAAAAAACCCACGAGGTTGGACAGGCGACTCTACTCCTTGTCACGTACAACCGGGGAATCGAAACCACGCCAGTTGACTCAATGACAGACTTTATGATACTGCGCGCAAGTGCTAACCATCCAGCCATCCAATCCCCCTTCTGGCAAAGGACAACGTATAGTCGTTCGGATTGGACAAAAATTGGCAGTTGGAATTCGATAAAGAGTAGGCCGTAGCGCCGTGCATAATTTCCCGCATTTCACACTGCGGCGCGTAAACCTTGTCTTCATTAAAGTAGAAGGACGTTAAACCCCATTTCAATTCATTTCTTCATATTTACAGGAAAAACAAAAATATCGAATGGGCATCCTTTGCGAGGGGATGTGACGAAAAGAGTGGAATCTCAAAACGAACGAAACAAGAAAATATTAGATTCGCAGAAAAAGACATGTTATAAAGCCCAGGTAAATCTATATTTTATCCAGCCTAGGTAATTCTATATGTGATTCAAGCCCAGGTAATTTTATATGTGATTCAAGTCCAGGTAATTCTATATGTGATTCAAGCCAAGGTAGTTCTATATGTGACTCAAGTCCAGGTAATTCTATATTTTATAAAGCCCAGGTATTCTATATGTGATTCAAGCTCAGGTAATTCTATATTTTATAAAGCCTAGCTAATTCTATATTAGTTCACCTCTGAACGTATGTCCCATTGCACTCGTCCTGTACGTTCAGGAACCGCTCTATTGAATCCTTGTCGAAAAAGTATCGACCCCAGTCAATTTTACTGGGCAACTCTGGGGACGCAGGAATATTGTAAAGGAACATTTTAGTGAGAAAATAAGACTTTGCTTACCTCTTTAGATTTAGTATGTGCAACACAACATGCTGTTAAAAATACATCCCTTCTGCTAAACGGATTGGCAGAAGCCATTGAAATCTGAATATAGGGTAACCCATAAATTTACGTAACTTGACCAAATATGACGAAACGAAATTTAATTAAGCTGATAAGCTGACGGGGGGGGGGGGTGTTCATTGGAATCTTTGAAAAGTTGAGACTCGTCAGTCATTTATTGATTTACCTAGTCCAGTTACAATCTATTTTTTTTTCAAAAATTTCAATTTTGCTTCACCTACTTACCTAAATTTCGCTTCGTCATATATGGCCGAGTTATGTAAATTTGTGCGTTACCAAATATCGAGTCTGCCCTATGTTTGCCCCCCCTCCCCCTATAATTTAAAAAAAAAAACAACATTTGTGATATGTTTTGATAATCAATATCCTCTACGCTGCTATTTATCTTGACGACCAGTGTCTGAAATACTGCCAGGCTGCATTTCCGACAGTCCTTTGACGCTTTCCTCTCTGGTCGGATAAACTAGTGATTTTGCGACAGGCGGTATCTGGTAAGCTCTATTTATCTCGACAGCATTTCCGGCAGTTATTTTTAAATTTCCGAGGGCTTCGTTGAGGTTAGCAAGTCTGTCCGTTTGACAATTTCCTCTCTGGTCGGATAAACTAGTAATCAGTCGGCAGGCGGTAACTGGTCGGCTCTATTTATCTCTAAAATCGGTGTCTGAATACTGTCAGACTGCGTTTCCGGCAGTCTATTTTTCAAAATTTTCTGGTTGAAGCTCGCTCCTCATACCCCCCGTAAGGACTCGCTACTTTGGTGCTCATGAGGAGGCTTCGTCGAGGTTCATTTGACACTTTCCGCTGTGGTGGTATCTGGTTAGATCTATTTATCTCGACGATCAGTGCCTGAAAGTCTGCACAACTGCATTTTCGGCAGTCTGTTCTTTTTTTTAAATATTTCTGGCGGGGGTGGGGGGCATACCCTTGTTTGCAGCTCGCGCCTTTGCCCCCTTAAGCTTGAACTTTGCCCCAGCTTTGCCCCTCCAACTACCGGCGGGTGGCGCCGCCACTGTATACGAATGTTGTAAAGTATACCAAATGTTGTGAAGTATACCGAATGTTGTCAAGGATGTCGCATGTTGTCAAGGATGTCGAATGTTGTTGAAGTTTTAGTGGAAAATAAAATATATTTGTAATATTGAACAGAATTGAATCATGTTGTGAAATGTTTAATTGAAAATATATTTGTAATATTGAACGCTTTTGGATTATGGTAAGGCTGTTATTCCTTTAAAAGGTTCAAACTTGACAATATTGTTGTTTGCAAGGAATTAATCAAATGACACCCAGGGACTTTAAATAGTCAATTTCACATCTTATAAAAACCGTGCATTAGTCATAATTTATCGCATATAATATTTGTAATTCGATGATCTTCTAAATCTCACAGCATTTTATCACATAGTTTTAAAGTTTATATCAGTTCAGACAGGCGTGGTAATGGTTCTCATTTATCACATATTATATCGTTTCAGAAAGGAGTGGTAATCGTTTTAGACCACTTATTTATTAACAATAAACGATAACATGGCTCTCTATGTCAGATATGTATTAAAGATACATAATGTAAGGTTTAGATAAAGAGCTGACAGTTTTTGCTATAATAGTTCAAAAAACAAGATAATGAAAATGGAATATATTGAAATATTCAGTCAATTCTGAGTGGAGTTATGACTGTTTGAAGAGGAACGTGGTCTTTAATTTCATTGCTACCGTTGTTACGATAATAAACAACTTCTCGATTATTCATGTTTCAATCAAATTATTGAATGGCGATAGGGTTTTTAATCCGTGAAAAATCCCAAGAGAGTTGATTATGGGCTTCTGAATAAATGTCTAATCAAATAATTTATATAACATTTGAAGTAGAAAAAACAAATCTTGCGATAGACAGACTTAGTTCTTACCTAATGCATGATTAGCAGATAACAATACTGGGATGGTATTAATGAACTCTCAAACAAGCACGAACAAAGTCAGAATTATAGAGCATTGTCTTAATGATAGATCTCTTCCGTTTATTACCAAGTCAGTTAATTCATTTACACGCATTATAGAAAAACATCAAAAGCGAAGGGTTTCGAATGAACAAAGAAATCAATGGGTTAATTGTATAAACTGATTAATTATTAAATAATTGGCAGTCAGATAGACTTGTAAACAACTTGTTCTGTTTTTATCAAGGTTGCTAATTCTCACTCTATCTATAGGTTTACCTTGAGAATATTAATCAAGGGTTGAGTAAAGACCTTTATTGGCTAGGGTGTCGCGCTTCGAGTTCGAGCTAGCCGATCACCTCTGGCTTGCGGTCGTGGTTTTGATCCCAGATTTGGAGATTGGGTCGCTTTCTCAATTTCCTGGGTTTATCCCGGGTACTCCGGTTTCCTGCCACAAGAATCACTTGTCTGCGATATCACCCTCGGTGGAAGCGGACGTCAAACACTACCTTTATGGTGACGAAGTGAAAATTTTAACACCTTGTCTTAAAGTGATGTTTTTATATACAAGAACTTTTTTTATATTTTACCTATATTTTATTACCCCTTCATATGTAATGAAATTGGGTTTAATGTCCTACTGCTCTGCTCCGACTGGGCTAATGAAGACGGGCATACGCCGTACAGCGGGCTATGAGGGACATTTTGCCCGGGAAACCAACTGCCAAGGGATCTTTTACGTGCACACCAATTTATACACGTGACCTCGGTTTTTCGTCTCATCCGAATGACTAGACAGCTGCCCTTATCAGGTCCTGTACCACTGACGCGGGGAAACCACGTCAGAAAATCCCGATGAACTTTCTCGGCCAATGCAGGGATCGAACACTCGACCTCCAGGCTAGCAAGCCAGCGTCTTACCCACTTAGCCACCGTGGCTGCTCCTTCATATGTAAATAATGTTACTGAAATCAACCTTTCCATAATAGCATGTATTATGTATTGGACAACAACACCTTTGATTACGTGAATTTCAAACAGTCGGTCAGACCTTTGAATAATCCGCGATATTACTACCGTTAACGGAAATAAATACCTGCAATAGACAGATTTAGCACTTACATAATGCATCTTTAACCCGATGGGTTAACCCCATTTCATTTGATTTCGGCGGCAAGGTGCAGGCATTGCCATTACTTACTTATTGCAATAATGTAATATAAGCAGAAAAAATTAATAGTTGCCACAAATAGGCTTACAATCATATATAATTATTTCATAACTTTGTTAAAGGACAACAGGGTTGTTTTTTTTTCAAGTATATCACAAATGAAATAGATTAATAGCACCGTTGTGCTACATGTCAACATGTCATAACGAAATGAAATGAAATGGGGTTTAACGTCCTACTGTTCTGCTGCGAACTGGGCTACGGCTAATGAAGACGGGTGTACGCCATACAGTGTGCTATGAGGGAAATTTTGCCCGGACAGCGGCACTACGGCCTACTCTTATATCGAACTGTCAAGAGAGAGGGAGAGGGAGAGAGAGAGAGAGAGAGAGAGTTTTCTCCCGGTCCACCGGTTTCCTCCCATTGCTAAAGACTCCTAAAGACCCCCCCCCCCCTCCTCTCTCTCCCGCTCTCTCTCGTGTTCATTTCACCCTATTTTTAGCTTATCGCTGTCTATAAATCTATGTATTGTGTTTCTAATGAACGGAGATCAGACAAGATTTCCCTTAATCTACACTCCTTACACCTGCCACACCTGTATTATATATAATTAACCTGCTCAGGTAGTACATACTTTACACGGTTATTGATACAAACCTACAATTTTAAATTTAACGAACCGTTCATTGAATACTGACGTACAGTATACACATGTATCTTTATTTTATAAACTTTTTTTTTATTTGTGGGGAGAGGAGGGGGGGGGGGGCTCTGAAAACACCCTACTGTTCTGCACCGACTAGGCTAAAGAAGACGGGCATACGTCATACAATGTGCTATGAGGGAAATTTTGCGCGGACAACGGCACTACTCCAACTGTCAAGGGTTCTTTTACGTGCACGCCAAAGTTTACACGGGGCCTCGGATTTTTGTTCAGTCCGAACGACTTAACGTTATCCCTTGCCAGCCCCACCGTACTGCCCAAATATAAAAAGACATCTATATACCACAAATAAAAGCTTAGTTTGAATGCTATGTGATTACTATATACCTATACATATATATATAAACATACATGTATCTACCATGCATTTCGTGGTCAGACTGGCGCCATACAAACATACCATATTATTAATATATTACTAGGGCCAAAATAAAAATAAAAATACGCGTGCTTACGTTTGTTTACCCGACAGACATTAGGGGTTTCTGTTACATGATCTCTAGAAGATGACTTGAAGAAACCATAACATTCAAATGATGACATACTTATTATTTTTAACTTGCAACTGCATTCTGTTTTATTTTGTGTGTAATTATATAGTGTTCTTCCTATATTCAGCTTGTATAATGTATAATGTATATATTTTGTAGTTTAGGAGTGACTTCCCAAACTCTTCACTTTAAAATGCTATTGCATTTCAAATGATTTTGAATTTATCCTGATATGACATGTATATATGTCTTTGTAGCTTAGGAGGGACCTATGGAAGATAGGTTTTTTTTTGTTTTTTTTTTTTGCAAACTAAATAAGTTGCCTCATGTTTTTATTATTATTTTTGTTATTATTATTACTTGGTAACTACTCGAGCACAGTTATTTTTTACAACTTGAAGACGGTTGATGGAGAATAAATGTACGAAATAGATAATACAAACCACACGAACAAAAATATAATGTGGCCATGAAACCGAAAAAACGGGTGTTTTTTTTCTATGCCTAATATAACACATCAAATAATACACGGGAATAACAAGTAAATGTAAGTGTGATTGTTTAACTACATATCACCTACCATCTACTTATTATTTACTTATATATTTAGTGTATAGTTAATGTTTATATAAGTAAAGCCCCTCTATTGTAGTCTATATGATATGTCAACACTTATAGTAGACTACCTATATATATCTTTATATATACTATTCAAAAAAAGTAGGGGATATTTGATTTTTAAGTGTTATTAAAGTCACCTAATGAAACCGACGAAGAAACAAATGACAAAATGAAATGAAGTTTACATTCATCGATTTATTCCAAATGATCGTTAGACTAAGTAAGGCACAGACTGACCAGTATAAGGGTAAAATGATACCCGGGGTCAAACAGCAAAGTTACCACAGCATCACAACCAAGTCAGTAACGGGTAAATCCTCCTCTGTTTGCCAAACAAGCATTGATCCGACGTGGCATACTCCTAATGAGACGTCTAAGGTCATTTTGGTCCAGATTGTCCCATTCCTGTTGCAACGCAGCAGCAAGTTCTTGGACATTGGCAGGACGTTGTTGACGTTGACGTAACCTCTGTCCAAGCATGTCCCAGACATGCTCGATGGGGGAGAGGTCGGGACTCAGTGCTGGCCAAGGTAATGTGGTGATGTTCTGTTGTTGGAGGTAACCTGTAACGATCCTGGCCCTGTGACATCTTGCGTTGTCATCCTGGAAGATGAAACGGCGGCCATGACGTCGTGCGAACGGCACAACATGGACTGCCAAGATGTTGTCCCGGTAGTACTGGCCTGTAACACGCCCTGCAACAACATGTAAAGCCGTTCTTCCAGCAACAGTGATGCCTCCCCACACCATAACAGAACCACCCCCAAATCGATCATGTCTGATGACGTTAACGTCTTGGAAGCGCTCATTTCGACGACGCCACACCCTCCTACGTCTGTCCAAAAAATCAACAGTGAACCTTGACTCATCTGAAAACATCACATTGCTCCAGCGTCGATTATCCCAGTGTTGACGATCCTTACACCAACGACGTCTTGCCTGAATGTGATGATCTCTCAAACAAGGGATCACGCGAGGACGTCGGGCGCGAAGGTGACCCCTATGCAGTCGATTCCGAATCGTCTGGCCACTCACTCTCACACCAGTGTCTGTTTGAAGACGAGCGCTGATCTGATTTGCTGTGATGACACGATTTCTCAAGGCCAAGGTACGGATAAATCGATCCTGGGCTTGAGTTGTCGCCCTTGGTCGACCTGAGCGTGGTCTGTCCTGTACAGATTGTGTATCACGGTATGTGGACCATAGCCTGCTTATGACAGACTGAGAAACATTCATCGTCCGCGCCACAACCGCCTGTGTTGTGCCGATCTGTAGCATGCCAAGGGCACGTAACCTTTCATTTTGGGTAAGCCGACGCATATCAAAATTTGTTTTCTGGTCACTAAAACAATTAAACTGATGTTTCCACCCTGGAATTCAATGCCACAGTGACTGTAACATTCAAAGTCAGAGTCGTGCAAATCTTGGGTTGGACCCCCATGATGATCCCAAGCATCACCTGCATTCCATGCGGTAGCTATTGGTGCGTTTGGGCGTCACATGTAACTGGAAATGTTTCTTCTGTTAGGTTCTATAGTGACTTTTTTCGTAGTCATTTGCATATTTTAGTATTATGCCCCCAAAATCAAATATCCCCTACTTTTTTTGAATAGTATATATATAATACGATCAACATCTCATAAAGTATATAACATCTAATCTATATTCGCACGATCCCACAGGGTGGGGCATTCGCCCGTGTAAGTCTCGAATTGCAAGTGAAGATAACTCTGCTTGGAAGATTGAAGGTGGGGTGGAGGGCGAGTGGTCTCATGCATACGATTTAGATCATTAGGTCTGGCACAGAGTCGTCATCTCACAAAATATATAACATATGATAATCTGTACTGGAACGATCAAATAAGGGGTATAGAAAACATTATTAATTGTTGATGTTGTTGTTGCCATTGGGCTTGTGCTAGTTATTGCTGTTGTGGTTGTTGCTGTTGTGATCGTGCTAGTTATTGCTGTTGTGGTTGTTGTCGTTGTGCTTTTGCTAGTTATTACTGTTGTGGTTGTTGTCGTCGTGCTTGCGCTAGTTATTGCTGTTGTGGTTGTTGTTGCCGTTGCTGCTGTCGACAATGATGTGTTTGGTTCCTGGTTCATATAGTACTGTCGTACTTGTTATTTTGGTTATTTCGAAACTAACATATGGTTCAACCCTGTTCAATAATTCGCTTGCGCGTAGAGGTCTGTAGCAGTGGGAGGAAACCGGTGGACCCGGGAAAAAAACGAGACTAGACAGGCGCAGCTACTCTTTGTCACTTATAAACTGGGAATCGAAACCACGCCCTTTGACTCAATGACAGACCTAATGATCTAACGCGCACGCGTTAAATCATTTGGCCAGCCCCCCCCCCCCACACTCCCAACCCAGCAATATGTGACGACGGGTGCATGTTAAAACATGTTATAAAAGTAGTCCACGGTATTATAATAGAATTCTTGTCTATACAGCTCATTAACTCCATTGTTGATAGTACACGTGATATGTCTCATTTGTACATCGTGTCATGTTCCCACTGTCGTGCGATGCGTTACGATAGGATTGTCTCTATTGAGTCGACGATCTGGTACGTGCAGATACGTTCGGATACGTTTCGATACGAGTAACACGATTGTTACGACTGACCACAAGACTTGATAGGATCACCACGGTTACTCCGATATTAAAACCACGATTTCAATCGTAGCGCGAATCGTGATAGTGGGAACCTATCATTAGGATTTTGTACACGATTTATGAACTCTTGTTGATACGTTGCAGTGTAATCAACATTACCAAGTATTCTAGTATTATGAGTTAAGAGAGAGAGAGGGGGGGGGGGTAACGTCCACTTGACACATGTTTTCTCGTCAATAAAATAATAATGAGTTTATCTGAACTTTTCAGCTTGGTTCCCCCTTCACTGTTGTGAAGAATCGAGGATCTAGTAAGGACCAGCTTCTAGTCTTCCGGCAAAATTTCTCTACGGGCACACCACATAGCGCAAGCCCGTCTTCGTTAGCCCCGTTGGTGTAGAAAAGTATGACGTTTAACCCCATTTGACTTAGTTTCAGACTAATGATGCCTAAAAGCACGAAGAACCAGCACACAAATTTATGAAAATGTGGGCTGAAACTGGGAAATTAAGTTTAATGTCTGTGAAATAGCATTATTTAACGTTCGCTTCCATCGAAGTAATATCGGGAGAGAGAGAGAAATGTGGTTTAAAGTCATTAAAAATATTTATATTACAGGAGTTCAGTGATCGTGTATTAGAAGAGAAAGACAGATTATCACTACATTCTAAATCACGTGGTACATCGAGAACTACATCACGTACTGCATCTCCATCAAATAATAAAAGTAAGCGGTTACAACGACGTCATTATTTGTAAATAAAAGATGCATTATGTAAGATTAGATAAAGAGCTGGTCGTTCTTGTTATAATAGTTCAAAAATAGATAATTAAAAATGAATACATTGAGTGTCAGAAGATGTTTATTATCGTAACAACGGTACTGGATAATCCATTTTATCGTTAAACTTTTAAATCAAACGCGTGGGCGTTCTAATCCATTTAAATCTCTGCCATCCGATGTTCAAAGAGTTGATTGATTATGGACTCGTCATGTTAATGTCTAAATAATAATAAACATAAGATTTGAAGCAAGAAGAAAGAACTGCAATAGGCAGATTTAGCTCTTACATAATGCATCTTTAATGAAGAAAACAAAATCTAAATATCAACGGTAGATAATGCCCCGGCTTGGATTCAATCGGATTACATAATGACTGTGTATACAAGCAGAGGTAGAGAGTTTGCTTTCTCTTGGTATAATATTTCAGATATTTGATTGTGTGGTATTTACGGTAATTACCAGTTTAATTTCCCACTCTTCTGCAGTAAGTGGGATAAAGAAGGTGAATATATGACATAGTTAGCCCAGACATTGGCATTTTTACCTACACTTTGACGAATTCCAAGTGTTTTGCGGTTTGTTTGTTTTTGTGTAAACAATAATTTGCTTCAGTTGGATGAAAAGGGACCAGAGAACAGGACAACCAATATCACCCTCTCCTTTTATGTGCACCCCAATGGGTACTCCATCCTCTCTATCCCTAGTGGCATAGTTCTGTTTTACTCCACTAACCCCTGGGTCCAATCATGGGGTATTCACGAATTCAAATTATCTGCTCTTGATGATTTCATTGGCCACGTAGGTTGATTCTACGAACAAATCAAAAAACAGTCTTTGCGCCATCGTTTACGTTTACCACTATACAGCAGCATGCATGTTCATTTATGAGAAAGTTTGCAAGACATTTAATATCAAAGAAGTGGCATGCACACAAACAGATGCCCTAAAATATTTTGACAAAGTTTACAGCAATTATTCGGAGATCTTAGTTGCAACAAAATGCGAGTTACTTACCTGCGCCCATTCGCTTTGTATTATGGAATTTATTGGTTGGTCGATAAAAATCGCACAATTAACAAATTATCAAGGGCGGATAAGTTGACCATGTGTCCGACCCTTGAATGGACCCAGGGGTTAGTGGACTGGAAAGGAATGATACGACTGGGAAACCGAGGATGCGTGTACACTGGACCTCGATACACCTGCTTAGTGAGCCAGTGCCTAACTTACTCGATCAGCCACCATGAATCACAACTTTAAATGATTACCCAGTTCATCACCTTACGATTCATATTTTTATATAGCCTGTTTGTTCATTGGCGGGGGGGTGGGGAGCAGTAACCGGGACGCTGGATTCTAATGTAGAATACGACATAAATCATACATCAAGTAGAAAATCTGCCCGTAAAGGTTTACCAGGTGGTGCTTTAGATTTAACTCTCAAGAATAGCCAGGTGATGTTGGGGCTAACATGTGACGCGTATCTAACATGTATTTTATTAGAATAAAATGTTGTTTACATTCACATATGGCATATTTTCATGTCAATATTGCGCTTGTTCGCAGAAGTCTTTAGAAGTCGGAGTACCCAGCGAAATCCATCAAGGTTAGGCAGACGATCGCCTGACTTGCATATATAACAGAACCATTGTTCACCTTTCTTTTCTTTTTTCTTTTTTTTTATCTAAACCTAATTATTCTTTTATTTCAGAACATGTGCACTTTGAACCAATATCCGACAATGAAATACAAGAACTCAATGTGAAGGTCAATGGTGTTATTCAGCCAACTACGAAAGCGGACATTTCATAGAAAAATATTTAAAGAGCGTTAAAACTAGTATAGCTTACCCAAGTGCTCAGTCGCCATTTTACAGTTATCTTTGGTTACTGTAGTTCTCAGTCACCACTAGTTACTATAGTTCTCAGTCACCATTGGTTACTATATTTCTCATTCACCATTGGTTACTATAATTATCAGTCACCATTGGTTACTATATTTCTCAGTCACCATTGGTTACTATAATTATCAGTCACAATGGGTTACTATAGTTCTAGGTCACTATTGGTTACTGTAGTTCACAGCCAACATTGGTTACAAGATTTCCTGGATTGCAAGTCACCATCGGTTAACACGTGGCTCATTTACCAATGGTTATGGTAGTGCTTAATCACCATTGGCTACCGTAATATTTAGGCACCATTGGTTACCGTCGTACTTAGTCACATTGCTTTAGTTAACATATTGCTTAGTTACCATTGGTTACGATATTAACATCAAAATCGTGGTTTCCGGTTCAGTTTTTAGAGTTGTTGAAGTGGACGGGGTTTATTCCATGTAGTTTTATTATTAGACTCGTGGACCTTTTGAAACGTTGATTATTGTATTAAAATCGTGCATTCGCCTTATTTGAAGCACATTTATATGAATTCTCTGTATGTGGTGATAGAAGAAACAAGGTTTGAAATGCAGAACACAAGGCTGTAATCAGATCATATATTCATATTATTTCTAGAGTGCATTGTGCATTACTGTGATACATTTTCTAGAACACGTGCTGTGATAAATTGCTGGCGATTGAAAGGATCAACAGATAGTGTTTAGGGAAAAGGTTTTTATATGGGCTAAGCCTGTTCCCAAATCCCATTCAGGTATTGGGTTTTTTTGGGTTTTTTTTTTCTTTTTTTGTAAAGACATATTGTGTTTCCATGGATTTGTTGAATTTGTACATAGAATATAAATTATATGATTTAATGCTGTTATAAAAGACGCTATGCGTGATTTTAGCAAGAACCCCTTGTAAATTAAACGTTGAATCTCTAATAGGAATGTCAGTCTAAAAATAGTTCATTTCCGTTCTATATTGACAAATATATAACAGATTGAAAATTCCACCCGTCTATGCTCTTCCCTATATCAAAAGACGACCGCCATCTTTATTTGCCGTGAACCAAATTGATGGGCCTGTTTTAAATTTGTTTGAAAATCCAACCGGGAGGCGGGGGGGGGGGGGGGGGGGGTATCTAGTGTTGGTATTTTTATTTTGTTTTCTTTTTTCTTTAAATGTTAAATAATCAATCTGAGTATATGTTAGTGTTCATTTGAAATTTTCCGAAAAATGCTAACCAAAAGTCGTCAGTTTAATTTGTTTCAATCAGTATAAAAGCTTTATCGATATGGGGAAATATTATCGCTTTAATTATAAATTGGCTAGTATTCAGTATTACAGTTCTATTGATATTTACCAATATTCAGTATTACAGTTCTATTGATATTTGCTAATATTCAGTATTAAAGCCCTGTTGTATTCAATATTACAGCTCTATTGATATTTGCTAGTTTTCAGTATTACAGTTCTATTTTTATTTGCTAGTATTCTCTGTTAAAAGATTATGTCGATACTTTGACATGTATTTAAATGTACTGACATTTGCCGATACTTAATATTCAGTTGATGATACTGGGATAAATATTCGGTAAATTACTTTACTGATATTTACAATTTTCCTTTATTAAAGATTTGTCGTGTTTTGCTTTAGTAATCATAGTTAGTTTGAGGGAGACAATGCAGTAAAACGACTAAAGATAGACTAAGTCAATTATACAAGGAAAATGGGCTATGGAACAAAATTGTTGTGTTTTCTTCTTTATTCTACATACACGTGCAATTAAATGCCTTCTTGTATATTTTTATTTGTCAATAGAATTATAGATTTGTAAGTAGAATGTTTAGACATTAAACTCATAATAAACTAAATACCTCATTTTATTGTCGTTGTTGAAGAATATATAAAATATTTAACGAATTATGTTTTATTATTTTTGTTGTTAATTACCGGAAGTCTAGTACGAGGTATTCACCTTAGGTCTCGGAGAATAGATCAGATCTATATGACAAGGCCAAATGCATATTTCCTCAAGGTCACGAGATGTAAACAGGGTGAGGGCACTTGATTGTTGTCGAGGATTGTAGGTTAGGGTAAGGCGTAGGACTAGGTCTTTGGTTAGGTTTAAGAATTTGGCCTTGTCAAATAGATTTAACCAAGAGTATTGTTGTACAATAACTACTATGCCGGTTACAAGGGTTGTTTGCGGAACACCGGTTACATTTCTAGCTAGTTACTACCATTACGTGCTCTTGAAAGTCGCGAGCCAGGCGATACACAAACTAATCATCCCGTGCTAATGGCGAAGCTAAGAGAGCTTACTATTCAAATAGCAATAACAAGCAAAGATAACTGTTTACGGTCACCAACACCATATGCCCCATGTTCACTGTTGATGCAAGGGCATTGGTGACATTTCCATGTAGGCTTAATCCGGACCTGAGCAACATACCCTAATTAATTATTATGGCAAGACCATACTCCCTGATTATTAATCCGAAGTGTTAGACCCACTTCCGGATTTTTACAGACAAGACTGTGAAATTTGGCCAAGGTCTTGCTAATACTAGAGAAGAAAATATACCCATCCGACCTCAACCTTCAACATAATTTGATTTATAAGACTTTCAACTAGTTGATGAGACTGAAATTGAAAAAATCATAAAAATAAGTCTGTAACTAAATCATCAGCTGTCGATCCCATACCAACTCCTTCTTCAAAGTTGTGTCTTACTACATCCCTTCTCATAATAACCGACACGATTAATTCCTCTATTTTAGATAATACTGTGCCTGATGTTTTTTAAGGGTGTTTTGGTTATCCCATTGATAAAAAAAAAAGCTTGGATCCAAACTAGAACAAAAATTACCTTGAGCATAATAGCCAATGAGATTAAAACCCATGTATCTGAAAACAACCTTATGGAGGAAAAACAGCTCTACCCGTGTTCACAACGACATTACCATATGTCTAGATAAGCGGTTCGGATTTCCTATTAACATTTTGAGGAAGACATACAGTTATATTTCTAGCTAATCATTTTATCATTATATGCGCTTTTCAAAGTCTCAAATTAGCACCTATTTTAATTCAGTTTTTTGAACTTGCACACATACGCCTATACAAAGGGTCGGTCATTATTATAAAATAATATTTTAGATCTCTTGGTTTTCATGCAATTTATACGACAATTTATGGGGTTATTCGATTGACCCTTCCGGAATTGAATTATTTCTCTTAATCCTCAAAATAGGGACAATCAGGTGAAAAGGGTGATATCGTGGTACAACGCATGCGTCGACTGCATAAGAAAATGTGGATGCTCCATTGTCAGTCCGGAACGTCCCATTTCTGTCAGTCCCGACAGCGAATCGTGACGTAATTAAGCACAACATGTAAATGTAAATTCAAACACACCTCTTCAATTCTAGAACCAAGGAGGACATAGAACTGCTATCTGGGGATGTAATTACTAGTCTTAATTCAGTTTATTCTAATCTCTGCCCAGCTCCAACTTTTTCCCAAATTTTCGTTTGGCTGAACGTTTTTCACTACAGACAGAGCAACAGACGGTCATGTCTTTGCTCCAGATTTTGTATGAGGTTAACCACTGTAGTATTCTAAAAACTGTCATGTTAACGATAATTTTATGCTTTAATTTGTTAATGAATATTTTAATGTATTCTCCCTTTGTGCTAATTTTAATAATTACTCCCTGTTACGAAATTGCCGTCATTTTTTTTAAACCATAATATTATGCGAAAGAGAAAAATGTTCCGTGCTTTTATATTTGTATAGCCACATTTAAATACCGGTAGGTCTACGCTTTGGTACATATTCTAGTATACTCTTCAAAAAAAGTAGGGGATATTGAAATACAAATACCTATGCAGGTTGTCATATGATAAATAGTCGTGGGCACTTGACATGCTTTGAGAGTATGTTCACAGATGAAGAACTTATCGCCCCAAACCCAAAAGAACCACCGAGCTGCACATGTGACACGCAATAGCGACATACACGTGGGGGGGGGGGGGTCATTGTCAAATTTGACACTTCAAGGAAGGGTTGATGAAAACTGTCTCTTGCTGGTTTATCCTATCCATGTTTGCTTTCCTATTGCCAAGGTTCTTGCATACGATTTACTGTTTACAGTATCTTTGCTTTAGTGTGTTACGTTTAATTTGATCGGAAGACGTGTTCGTCGACGTCAACGTCAACCGACAACACTGCAAGTATTGGCCGTGGCACTGCAAGAGGATTGGGTCAGATTACCCCAAATCGTGATTGGACGGTTGATTAGGAGCATGCCACGACGAATTGCTGAATGTATGAGGATTGGTGGAGCAATTACTCATTATTAAGACAAAAAACGAAAACGTCCATTTTCACTTTTAACAGTATATCTCTTTGGGACTGAAATGGGCCGTCAGATAAGCCGCCCATATGAACTGATTATGTTCATGTGTAGGCAATTGGCCTGTTATTAACATACACTGGTTAGCTCTAATAAAAACAGGAGTGCATTTCCGCAGTTTTCTGAATATCCCCTACTTTTTTTGAAGAGTATATTTAGAGTTCACAGTGGTTATTAGTTTTATTCTGTAAGTACTTAATAAATTTGTCTTTCTTTCCACCCAAAATAATCATAAATGACTATACTGTCTTTAGGACTGACCGATTGTTTTATAGTCTAATGTATGACAAGCCTATAGTTGCGAGTTAATCTGAAATATTTTGCCTTTCAAGAATATTGGCCAATTTATATTGGGTTGGGATTCTGATTTCTCGGACTAAGAGATTCTAGGGTTTGACTTGATGCAAGGGGGGTAACTCCATTAAATGATGTCAAAATGGCTTGATATGCTAAAAGGAGTTATCTCCCATATAACATGATTGATGTCTCCATGAATTTTTGACATGATCTAAGGGAGGTACCTCTATTAAATGGCCCCAAACTCGCAATAGATGCTAAAAAGGCTTTACATCGTTTTTATATTCCCTGAAGTATAGTGTATAGTTTCCGAATATCTTTGTTATCTTCTATTTTCAGAACTCTTTGTAAACAGCCTGACATAAATTGTAATTCGAACCCTATTCTTCGATACCAGACCAAAAACTCAACAAAAATGGCAATGCAAAAGGTTAGAGAGGGAGAATTGATATAAATAGACCAACTACAAATTGTCTGCCAAAGAACGACTATCTGATTTAAAGTCAAGCTTCGGCGATATCACTTCGATGGAAGCGGACGTTAAATAATGCTATTTCACAGACATTAAACTTAATTTCTCAGGGATCGGCCCACATTTTGATAAATTTGTATGCTGGTTCTTTATGCTTTTAGGCATTATTAGTCTGAAACTAAATCAAATGGGGTTAAAACGTCCTACTTTTCTACACCAACGGAGCTAACGAAGACGGGCTTGCGCTATCCCTTAGAATAGACGCTGGCCCCTGCTAGATCCTCGATCCTTCACAAGAGGGAAATTGGAATAAAGCCGAAAAGTTCAGATGAACACATATTTTATTGACGAGAAAACATAATGTGTTATTACACAATTAATTATGGTAACATCTGTTTATGTTTAGTTTATTTCTGGTACTTGTCCAGATTGTATCTGTAGGATGTATAACACCGTCAATAGCTGTAACAAAAAATCCAATAGGATTCATTATCATAATATTAAGTGCAGGTGGTGGGTGGGGAGCTACCCGCAAACAAAACCGATAAGACAAACCTGCGGACAAGACACAAACTACACAGAATAAAATGAAACGATATGGGGTTTAACGTCCTGTTGTGCTAATGAAGAACAGGCATTGTTCTATGCTGTGTGCTGTTAGGGAAATTTTGCCTGGGCAGCGGCGCTATTGTCTATTCTTATTTTGAATTCCAACTGTCACGGGTTTCGTCCCATCCGAACGACTATCAGGCCACCCGTCTTAAACGACTAATGGGGGGGGGGGGGACCACGGCGGAAAATCACAATGAACTTTCTCGGCCCACACTGGTACCTTCACATTTGCGAGCCAACATCTTTCACACTGAGGCACCGCGACTCCAATATCTGATATATATACTCTTCTAAAAAACAAAAAGACACGCATAGTGACATTTCGTCGTCGGTATACCCTCGTTGCAACAGGAACCGCGATTCGTCGCTGAAGCAAACTGTTCTCCAGCCATACCCTGTGTGCCATTAAGTCGGATTTGACAGTGTCTGCGTGTTTCAAAACAACAGTTCTAACAATATTTCTGGCTCTTAATACGGTTTTACGTAGGCGTCTATGGACTGTTTGGTCTGAGATCCTACGCCGTCCAGGAATTTGCTGCTGCAGTAGAGGTCGCGGTTGTAAAGTGAACCGTTTCCGCAAATAAAGTAATCGGATGTGACGATCCAGGGCAGGTGGAGGCACTCTTGTTTGGATTGAGCTTGTGCTGTCACATGTTGAATTTCGCTGTCGGTAGCTATCACAAAGTCGAGAAATTGTACCCTGGGAAACATTCAACAGCCTGGCTACCTCTGTCTGGTATTCACAGGCTTGTAACCGACCGGTAGCGTTGTTGAGTTGGTCTTCGTGCAAATGTAGCATCGCTTGGCTCGTTGAATGTTTACATCTTCAACTTAATTTTGAAAACGAGAATCCTGGGATTTTAAAGGCCTTAGATTGGGGTTTCATGCGAAAAGCTTGTGGAGTTGTTAAACTCATGTGTCTTGGTGCAATCAAGCGAAAACAAATTTCGGCAAAAAGTATGACCAGTCACAATTAGTGACCCTACATTTAAAACCAATAACGAATTTCTTTTATCCTTACATAATCGCATTAAAAACAAGTAAGATTTATGGAAATAACGATCCCGTTCAAATAAAGAAGAAAAGGATGAAAAATGTGCTCTGCTTTTCTTTTTTGAGTATATATATATATATATATATAGAGAGAGAGAGAGAGAGAGAAATGGGGTTTAACGACCACTCGACACAAACTAGGTCATCTGACTCAGTGACAGACCTCATATCGGTTCTAACATATGGTTCAGTTTTTTTTCCATTAATTCGCTTGCGCGTAGGGGTCGTTAGCCGTGGGAGGAAACCAGAGGACCCGGAGAAAACCCACGAGGTTGGACCCTGTTCCTTGTCACGTACAAGCGGGGAATCGAAACCACGCCACTTGACTCAATGACAGACCTTATGATGCAACGCACACGCGTTAACCATTCGCTAAGCCGATAATGTATAAAGTGTACACTTGACCTCAGTTTTTTTCAACCGATACAAAGGACTAGTCCAGGTAGTGATGCGGTGAAAACTATGCATGGAGTTTCACCACTTTCACTAAAATAGAATCAAAGTCATCGTGTTTCATAACATCGACAAATCAAACGGTGGCGAACCGTTGAATGGATGGTGTTTAATAGCTTTATATTTATTCGTCCATTAGCGGTGGTTAGTTAAAAAGCTGATAAAGTATGCCTCGTTTTTTTTCATCCCATCTAAACGACTAGATGCTGTACTAGTAGTATGCTAATAGAGACTTTTGGAAATGGGAATTCTCCCCATCCGTATCACTTATCCGTATCGTCACATGATACGTTGCATCGATGTAGTTTTAGAGTTTGGGCAGATTTTCTCGAGCTGAACTTAGTTCTATTACATCATGATAGCAGTTATCTACCAAGATCACCATCAGTACTAGTCAAGTGCCTAGCTGAGCAATGTTTGGTTTCACTAATGTATCATTTCAGAAAGTTTATACCACTCTACCATAGAATCACATCATTTACAGATTTGCAAGGTCCCAACTCCCTAAATTTAGCGCGTGGATCAACCTGCATGCAGACAGATAGGGAAAATATGAAAATTCCGAGAAAAACTCAACCAGAATAATGATTAATTTCTAGTCTTTATCGTGGTTAAAATCACATCAAATATTCACCTTCGTGTTCTAGGATACACATAGATTCATAAAAAAGTCATGGCACAACATTCCAGGACGGTAAAAAGACGACGATGCTATACGGACCTTTTCCGTGTGAAAGCTGTTCGATACGTGCTGCCGTATCAGTGTGTAGTATTACGTATGAGAAATACACACACATTGATGACATCACACGCAAAGTCGATACGGATACGCGATACGGACCAGGAATTTACGCTTGACAAAAGGCTCTAATATGTCATATTTACCTCGGTATAGTATGTTACAAATTCCTCGTGGTCAATTACTCCATCTTCTGAAAGACAAACGAAAAACAAAACATTACATATACTATAAATTTATTAAATAAACTAGTGATTACGACAAACTAACTAGAAATGAATTGAAATAAAATGGGTTTAACGTCAGTCTATTCAGCATAAACCGGGCTAATAAAGCCGACCATACGCCTTGCCGTTTGCTGTATGAGGGGGATTTATCATGGTGAGTGGAGTTTCCGGATATTCCTCATCGAATTCCAACTGTCGATGGTTCTTTTACGTGAACTCCAACGAATACACCGGTGGCCATGGGGTTCCGTACCAAATGAAAGGCTTCTATGGCTTTCCCAACCATCCGTACGACACAAGGTGAAACCAGGCTGGAAAATCCCGAACAACTATTTCGGCATAACCGAGATAAAACCTTTAAACCTCCGACTTAGTTTGTGTGAGTCGCGACGGCTCGCTAAGCAGGAGGCCGAAAAGTTCCGGATTTACCTATATAGGCTTAGCAGACTGAAGTCTCTAAGGCCTCAAGATCTAGGGTACTTTAATCTTAAACACCTGTTATCACCCTCCGCTTTGCTTAATTATGTTTCAAACAGACTTCCATCTTCCTCTAGCCGTGAGGGTGAAAGACTTGGAGGGATCTAGTAAGTGGAATAGAATAGGGTCTCTCCTAATCTAAATCCGGCACAGCATAGTTCTTATTTTAATAAACTCAGACAAAAACGTTGGTGGTGTGAACTTACTACGTAGATGATCCATTCTATCATGTACACCGTCCAAATCTGTAGAATCAATAACGCCATCCTGGTCGTGGTCATATTCAACAAATAAGGCCTTAGCAACGATGGCTAAAGTTGGTTCCTGCATATCAAAATGGAATTCAAATTCTACTTCTGTAATTTTACGATCACCTAAAAATATACATTTTCAAAATTAATTTCATTCCCCTTTTCGTTATCTAGTTTTTAGCTATTATATGTAACACTCTGCAGTGCTATGCGTCGCTGGTTAGATGTGGAAAGTACAAAGGCACCCTCACTCCCACATCCAACGTGTGACGCATACTCTCTTCCCTACTACATATTAATAGCCTTGAGATCGTCTAGTATTGTCTCTGTTTATATTTGTTTCTTATTCTCTTCTGAGGACTCACGCTGTGTATAGCCTACATATATTTTTTTTTATCTCAGTCGTTAAGACGTTTATCTACCAGGAATAACAATGCATCAGTTCGTTTCCACATTTTATATCAAGCCCTGGATACATAGGCTACAAGCTTTGGTTACATTACGATAATTAAAGTTAACATGTCTTTGTCTCCACTCCCTAATTTGCACATCGGATTTATTGACGGAACACACTACAGCATATGGCTCCCCTACAAATCAATGGGGTCTACTCATCACAGCTGGTGTCTCTTGAACATTGGCGGTCTCTCCCGAATTTAGTGGCTGGCTGTCGAACGGCCAGAGCTCTGATGGTTTTCTACGTTCAGCTTTAAGCTTTCAATTATCTAATTGGTCAATATGACGTAATAAACTATAACGATTGGTTACTAAACCAAATGATGCAATAGTAATTCTACTACATTAGTGATAAACATAAAATTCTGGTTTCACCTAGAATCGGCTATGTTTTGATTTTATAAATCTTTGTATGTGTCAACCCGTCAATCATTTTAATTTGAATGCGTGGGATATGACTTACAATAGATATATATGTGAACTCAATAATTAGTTAACGATATAATATAATGCTATTATAAATTTAAAGAGCAAGAATTCTATCAGTCTTACTACATGTAGCGCGAACTGTCAGCTCTTTATCTAAATCCTACATAATGATCTTTACTTGTCAATTTCATGATTGTATACGGCACCAAGTACAAAATAAACCGCACAATTAAATACCTTGTAATAGATGGTTTGTATGCAATGAAATTATTTTGAATCCCACAAACATCCAAACAAATAAACATTTTCTTTGTACATATAATTGCTTCACATTATTTCATAGTATTATATAACAAATCTGTTTATAATATATTTCATATTCGTTGTCATTCTGAACATAAGAGACAAGCTAACTGAGGAGAAAAAGCGAAATGAAAATGAAATGAAATGGGGTTTAACGTCCTACTGTTCTTCTCCGACTGGGTTCATGAAGACGGGCATACGCCATACAGTGTGCTATGAGGGAAATTTTGCCCGGGCAGCGGCACTATGGCATACTCATATATCGAATTCCAAGGGATCTTTTACGTGCATGCCAATGTATACACAGGACCTTGGGTTTTTTTGTACCATCCGTCCTGCACCACTGACAAGGAGAACCCACGTCTGAAAATCCTGATGAACTTTCTCGACCAATTCAGGCATCGAAACTTAGCCACCGTGACTCCAACTAAAAAGGAACTACTTTTTTATCAAAAAGGAACTACTTTTTTTATCAAAAAAGAACTACTTTTTCATTTAAAAAGAACTACTTTTTCGACCCAGTAATATTGTTGGAGAAAAGTTCTCATTTACCATAAACAATTAAAATACTATTACCATCCGTCCTGCACCACTGACAAGGAGAACCCACGTCTGAAAATCCTGATGAACTTTCTCGACAAATTCAGGCATCGAAACTTAGCCACCGTGACTCCAACTAAAAAGGAACTACTTTTTTATCAAAAAGGAACTACGTTTTTTTATCAAAAAAGCACTACTTTTTCATTTAAAAAGAACTACTTTTTCGACCCAGTAATATTGTTGGAGAAAAGTTCTCATTTACCATAAACAATTACAATACTACCCATAACCTTAACGGAAACGCCGGGTTAATAATAAGACTTTGTAACCGGTGACTTGCTGGCAAAAAATGATGTATCACTACTCCGTAGAGTAATCAAGTTCACTAAAATGAAATCTATATCAAAGAATTATATTTATTTGCTTGTGTGCGTAAGAAAGGGTTGGGGTATCCATAAAATCCCCTACTAATCTTTTTTGATATCAAAAAATATCAACACGTGTCGATAAAGTAAAAAATAAAACTTCGGCAAAGCCAATTGAGTTGATATTTTGATATCAAAAAAAAAGATGAGTAGGAGATTCTCTATATACCTGTTCCCTGATACTTTTGATTATATCAAAATAGAACTTTATAAATCACTGTACCATTATTGTCGTAATCAGTTATTAGAGTTTCCAGGTCATCTCGGTCATACTGGCCATTCTTATTATAATCCATATCCACCCATAATCTCTCTGATTCGTTTTTCACGTGCTCCCTAAATCTGTCTAGATGGATATCTACATCAATACTCGGGTCAACGGCTGGTAGACTAAATTATAAACATATGAAATGAAATTAAGTTAAATAAAATCGGCTTTATCTTGCTAGTGTCCGGTTCCAGACGGGCTAATTAAGGCGCACATAAGTTATGCAGTGGGCTATGAGTTTCCCGGTCATTTCGAATTACAACTTTCAAGGATTCTTTTAATTACGCGCCTGCCGTACGGGACTAACATACGGTTCGATTTTATGTCAATAATTCGTTTGCGCGTAGGTGTCTTTAGTTGTGTGAGAAAACCGAAGAACCCTGGAGGAAATTCACAAGATAATAATCATACCTTAAGCTCGCTGGTATTAATATCAAAACACAAACCAAAAACAACATGGTGGCTGAAAAACGCAAAAACAATAATAGAGTATTATTTTGTTTTATTTTATTCGTACACTTTATTACACTTTATTGCAGTTATCAATGCGTCTAATTTTATTCGAAAACACCGAGTATACTTCGAGTAATTTATTCCACTTTCATTTTCATATTTAATGAAATTGAACATGTTTATTTAGTCTTTGTGTGTAGGACACGGATTAGAACGTGATTTTCAACATGGCGGTCATGGCTGTGTGCAGGATAAAATAAACCCCACTGAGCCTTATGTTTAATGGAATATATAACCCTTTCGTTATTTCCATATTGTCTTCTTTATTTTAAAAAAAAAATTTTTTTAAGACTTACCTTAGTGACTTTAGGTAGGCCTATCAGTAAATGAATTTTTATCTTAGACGTGTGTTTGAAGATAGATAAGGTTAAACATGCGTACACGATAGAAACTTTTCTTATCTGAAGACACAGATAAGATTTAGATAATTAGCCTGGGGGAACCGGCTTGTGCTATAGGTTAAATTTTGCCAGGATTAACCTTTAACGATTTTCTACGGTGGCTGGGAGAGGACATCCAATGATTTTATTTTTCCCAAATTATCTCGAACGATCGACGTAGTATCTCGATCGATCGACTTAGTATCTCAAGCCTGGTAGCTACGTCGACTCTTCTACGTATCTCTCAAATTTCGAGACTGGCACTTCCCGTCCCCTTGGTCGACAGCTGGTCTCGAGACGGTTACTCGAAAGCACTCCAATCGCTCCCATGGACGAGGGTATCGACGGTGAGGCGGAAAAGCGCGGTCTGACATCTCGGACAACAACAGATCTGGAACTGGAACCGGCTACTCCTATGACCACTAAGTCGGTCGATCGAGATACTTTGGGAAAAATAAAATCATAGGTTGTCCTCTCCCAGTCACCGTAATTTTCAACTGTCAATGCGGATTTCATTTTTTGGGGTGACACCATTATATATTCCCACCATCGTAAAGATCGGGGAAAATATAATCGTGTGTCTGACTCATAAATATCAACATAGGAATGTCCCACAACTTGGACGACAGACCTAAAATAAAACAACCTCGCGGTTTCGTGAATAACTAGGATGCAAAATTCGAACGGGTTCTCCCGTGACACTATCCTGTGTCTCGGCAACTAAAAAAACCGTCCTGTGTCGCGGTTCCAAATAAAAACGCCTGTGGCACTACGGGGTACAGATGTGTGTCACTTTTGTCCATGACTTTCTTCGACTTCACGTTGTGGGATCAATTATTTCAATCATCAATTAACTGATTCTGGAACACCGTTTATGTTCTTACTAAGTTTATATAACAAATACAGCAAAGTACAAAGTTAAATCCAGGAAAACTACAACATCTATTAGAGATACTTAAGGAGTTATTAAAATATCCATGGTCTGAATTTAATATCCTTTCTAACGCAGAACTAACGACTCAAACGTGGCAAGAGACACATACTTCTAGATAGTTCTACATAAGGCTCGCGCTAGGATGATGTGTTCACCCTAGCCTCTAAGCCGAGGAAGCTATGGGTATGTTCCCCTTGGGCTCCGAATAATGTCTTCCCTACGGTCTCATCATGATATCTGAAGGTGAATCAAACCAGCCCTCTCCTATAAAGAAGTATAATGCGTCAGCTATTAGGGCGGGACAATTACCATTTTTGGGTAAGTGTTTCGTATAGGCACCGTTTTACGTCAACACTATTCTAGTTAATTGTACTAATCCGTGCACGAGATGACTGGACTATAGTACCCTACTTCAAGCAATGGATACTGACATAACTGTCGGTGAGTTAGTCTAACATAGTAGTAGAATAATGCAAGCTACTTCATTACCTTAGTTTTCGTCACACATCATGTAGGTAACGAATTTCTATATTAAACACCTTTCTTATAACTAAAATAAACCCTATAGTATTACAACACGCCCCTTTGCAATGCGTTAAATAAGCAATGTTGCTTAATTAACGCTTATTATGTCACATGCAATAAATACAATACAATATCAATACTTAATAGCTCTGAATATGTCCATTAAAATTTCAAGTCCTAATTCTAAAATATCATTATACTGATAAACATGCTACAATAATAATAGTTCACTGATTCAGTTTCAATATAAATACTCGGTTATACGTTCCAACACAATAAAATAAACACGGTTTCAATGTCAATAAGTTCACTGAAATCCTTATACGGCATTTAGTAACTGAACATATGATATAAAACACAAATTTATATGGAAAACAATCACTGGGTTTATTTCACACTACGTTTCAACAAGTTCTTCTTGTCGTTATCAAGTTACACTGGGTTTATTTCACACTACGTTTCAACAACGACAAGAGGAACTTGTTGAAACGTAGTGTGAAATAAACCCAGTGATTGTTTTCCATACAAATTTGTGTTTTATTTTATGAGTTCACTGTTTCTAACACTACAAAATTTCAAATCCTGTTCAGAATTGTTGTTCTGTAAATTTTGGTGTTCCGTTAACACTTCTTTCATTTCCTCTTTAGAACTACATGTATATCTGCTTATATGCCGGATTTCCTCTGTCTGGTGCGTCGTTGCTGTGCGTTAAGATAAGGTACATTACTTCCCGTAATTGATCCGTGTACTTGCTTAATCAGACCAATATAAATTCAGTTTCTTTACCCTTAATTTATAACATTTATTTTAATCATATTCTTACACTTAAGTTCATTTATAATTAGGGTTTCACACTGCGTAGCCTTCAAAACCGATATTTTTTTCAAATGAGTCGTATATGTTATTTGTTTAAAGGTATGATATTTAATTTCAATCAACAAATAGAATGAACCCATACGACCATATAGATACCACAAAATGGGTTCTAACTTGTAAGGTTTCAGAGAAATAGACGATTTTCTACTAGTCACTTTTCAAGGTTTTTGGTCTATAACAGTGTCAAATATTATTCGATTTTCATAAAATTTTCACCATGTGATGCCTTATGCCATTTCTGATTTCATAAAACTAATTTAACATTTTCATTATCACCGGAAGTAATATCATTTTAGCAAAAACTGTATTTTTAGCCTTCAAAACAAATATTTTTTTGAAGTGAGTTATATTTAGTATTCGTTTACCATTATGATATTTCATTCCAATGGAAATATAGATTGGATCAATACGATCATAAATATGTCAAAAAATAGCTTCTAGCTTCTTCTCTTGCAAAAAAATAACCAATTTCGTCAGGATCATTTTTTAAGACTTTTCGCATTTTTATTACAGTTTATGGGTTCTAAATTAATTATTTATTGCCTGATTTGTATAAAACAAAAGCGCATATACTCCTTGGTGCAAATTCTCAACTTGTTTCTACCTATAAAGTTTTCTGTCGGCACTGGAAGTGACGCAATTTTGACTAAAATTTAAATTTTGACGGGTCGGGAGGTCTTTTCCTAAGGAAAAATCTTAATTTCTACAAATCTTATCAATGAAGATGAATGCTCCTACTACAGGCGCAAAATATGTCGGGCTTAGTTTTTTGGGGTTTTTTTTTATATCAGTTTTGTATTTGCGCCATTTGGATTTAAGGTTGAAAAAAGGAGTAAAAATCAGCTATTTACAACCCATTCATCGTCTTCATATTTTAAATTATTTCTACGCAACTTTCATAATTTTGTAGCATTAATCCATACGAGGACAATGTATGTCAAAATTAGATTGTTATATGCGCAGTTGCAAAGAAATAGGCAATTTTGCATGCGTCACTTTTAACGTTATTTTCATGTAAAAGTGTCAATTATCGTTCGATTTTCAATTTTTGTTACCATGTGATGCCTCATGCCACCTTTGACTCGGTCAATCCAATTTAACATGTTCACTGTCACTGAAAATGACGACATTTGGGCAAAAACCCATACGACCATACAGATATCACTAAATGGTTTCTAATTTGTTCGGTTGCAGAGATATAGGTTTTGGTCTATAAAAGTGTCAATTATTATTCGATTATCATAACATTTTCACCATGTGAGGCCTTATGCCATTTATATTTTCATAGAATTAATGTAAAAAAATTTATTATCACCGAAATTAATGTAATTTTGTCAAAAACTGTATTATTAGCCTTCAAATTGTTTTGAAGTGGGTTATATTTATCATTCATTTAACATTATGATATTTGATTCCAATGGACATATAGATTGGATCAATACAATCATATAGATGTCCAAAAATTGCTTCTAGCATTTTCTCTTGTCGAGAAATTTCCCATTAAATAGCCAGCTAACTTAGCGGTAAGTTAGTAACAAATTTTGTAAGGATCACTTTTTTGACATATGTAACACATGGTAACAAATGTATAAATGAAATTAATATTGCTGGGTAACTGGCACCGGAAGTGACATAAGTTCAAGGGTAATGTGGCACCGGTGAAACCCGTCATTACTGCATCGCAGTTCTAGTTAAAATTGTATTTACTTTATTAGGAACCCACCTGTATTAATCCTTAATTCTATTTACTTTTAACTGAATAAACTATTGACAATATAACTTAATTTGTCCCATTAATAAAAATTAGCAGTATTAATTAGTACTTATCACCTACAGTAATTAATAAATTAAAAACTCATTACTAACGTTCTTAGCATGAACAGTTTCATCTCATTAACAAATCATCTTCATTTAATTACCCTAACCGTATCTGGTTATTGTTTAAGACATTCCACCTGTGCTATAAACTCACAATTAACATTGAGTATATAGGATGGAAAGGTGTAGAAACTATAAAGCTCTTGTCTCTTTTCCCGTGCTTCACTAATCAACATTTGACAGATACGCCCCTTTTCTAAATACGATATAGATACACTAAGTAAACATCTTAAATGTTTTTGATTTTTCTGAATTTATTTCTTCTCTAAAATCAAACAAAACAGCATCTTGAAATAAATGTGATCAATACTTATCTCAAGACCAAATTGTACTCTACTCATGGCTCTAATAGTCAATATAACACAACCGTAAGTTATAATATTCCCTACTTTCAACACACATAACATATGACAATTTATTAATAAGTTCCTGACGTTTTCGTTGTCATTAAGTATGGTTTTACGTATACACTACGCATGACATTTCCGAGAATTCAAAATTTATTCGACAGCTAACCGCACATTCGAATCCAAATTTAAATTACCCATTTTACCATAGTATGTTTTCCAGCTTCTAACACATATTTTGAACTTATTATCTCCTATTTACATTTTTAACAACACAACACGAAAAATCCAGAAACAGTTTAAGCCATTGAATAATCTAAGCTAACCGCTATATTGCAAGGTGCACTGTTTCATTTTAAACCATTTATTTAAAACCTAATAGCGACCCACACGCA